ACCGATGAGTGTCACTAGATTTTATACAAGACTATTTTATTTTTATTTTTTATTTTCAGTATGTAGATTCATTTCCACCTTCAGTTTAAAATAACAACAAACATGTGCAATAAATTTAATTGTCTTAAAAAACTGGGTGAAGTACGTAATTTTATTCTTATAATGTATGAGTATATGATGTTTTATGTAATCCTGTTAATGTAAATTTGTTTTCAATAAATTAGGCCCTGAAGATGGCAGAACATTCGCCGAAAGCTTGGTGAAACCCAATAGTGATGTTTTTTATTCACCTGTAAATGACCTCAAGAAGATCCAATACATCAATTTAAAACTACGGAGGTCGATCACTATCAACTAGAGTCATATAATTCTTTAAAATTAAGTTTGTATATATTTTTAATAATGTTTTCATATTTTTTTATAGTTTCTGATTTTTCTTATTTTCAATCAATTATTTTCATTCAGTTTTTAAATTAATGCTACAATAAATTACATCAAGTCAAGATATCCCTGAGGCACTAAATTGGCCATTATCAATTATTAATTATTAATCATTTAGAGTATCAGGAAAAGTTGGCTGATTTGTGATCATATCTAGATTTAATTTTTTTTAGTAAGTTTTTTTGTTGTTCACCAATCAGTCATCTTTTAATTTTAGTTATTAAATTTTCAGTGATTTCAAATGATTTATTTATTCCTGTAGCTTTAGGTGGTCTGTATACATGTATATATATTGAGAAATTAGTTGAATACATCTTTTCGATAATGTATTCGACTTTTTTTTTTTTTTTTTTTTTTCATAGGCCCTCAGTGATGAAGCAAAATTACAAAATTTACCTTATTTTTTATGTACAAAACTATACCACCCTGTTTTTATTTATTCTACCTTACGATAGAAATTATAGTCTTGCAATTTGAAACTGTTTGATAGTATATGCAGTTTTAAAAACATTCGGATAAACAAATAATATCAAAAGTCCATTTAAGTTAAATTCTTCCCAATGGTGAATTAAATTTTCAACATTCACATGTGCAATAGTTAAATTATGCTTATTGATCATCATTGAATGTAATATAAAGAGGAAAAAGTAACAACAGATTATGCAATGTTTTTTGAAAATATGTTCATGTTGTTACAATTGGGCTATATCTTTGTTTGATTTTATGTTTATTGCCTGGGAATTATCTTTTTTTATATAAAAAAATTACCATTTTTATTGCACAAATATTTTTTTTCTTTCTTTATATTTCTTTAAAATATGAACCTCTCTCATTAACTTTTTATTATAATATGACAGTGACTGATTAATATATAATATTTCATTGTTTCTCCCATAATAACACTGCAATTCAACATTTTTTCTTTTAATTTTTTAAGAATTTTATTCTTATCTAGTGTTTTAACGATGTCGACACTTATTCCAGGATTATTAGTTATACGATTTTTTTAATCAATAAAAATTGTTTATATCGCTGCACGATATTTTGTCTATTACTTCACCTACTTTTGTCATAGTTTCAATCAAATTTTCATCTTTCTTTTCAGGAAGTTGATGTATTTAAATTTGATTGCATAACTGCTGTTCTAGTTCATTATTTTTTACTTCTCTGTTACTCTTTTTTTGAGAATTACTTTTTTTCAGTTAAGAGTTCTATGGTTTTTACTAAGTTATCTATTTTTCATTGTTTGCATCTATTTTGTCTGAGTTTTCTCACCACTAAATCAGAGCGTTCATTTAACGCGTTTCAGAAATCATTTAAATTTCTTCTATTTTTTTTTAATCTTTAAAAACTTATTGAAATTAATTATACTTATCTATTGTCTTGGTTGAGAAGAAAAGGCTAGTTTACAAGTAGGATACACACCCACAACCTTCGGCTCCCACTTGTAAGTTTTTTCATCTCAGCTTAGATTAAAAGTAGATAAAAAGTATAATTAATTTAAATAATTAATGTGGTCAATTCTGACTACTATATATATATATATATATCTTAGTATATATAATCTTTAATAACACTGATTAATTCACATTTTTTATTCAAGTGAAATGGGCTTACGTTTAGAACAAGGCTCACAGTACCAGTGGTCGTTTTGATTGCATTCTTTTCAGAAATTCTTTTCTTTATGTGTGCGCATTGAATATGAAAGTCTTTTTCACAATGAAACCACATAATTTTGTGAGATTATGAGCGAATCCTTTGTGATAGTATGGTTGCACCATAGCTTATATCAATCGTTTTATGTCTTTACTACAACTGTGCAGACGTTTTCTTCTTCGTGAGATTAGGTTAACTAATTAACTCCTGAGATAAAAGATTTTGTCCTAAATTTCTTCAAAATCACAAAATTGAAACACTTAAAAACTTAACACTATTAAAACTGTCGCTTAGTTACAAAAGATTTTGTGCCAGTTTTTATTCAAGAACATTAACTTTTTCAACCTAGTAAGTTGGTGTAAGGGAGAAGGAGAGTTAGATATGTAGAGAGAGGGAGAGTTAGAGAGAATTAGAGGAAATGTAAGTGGAAAGGAAAGATAGAAGAAAAAGAGTGGGAGGAGAGACCTTCTCATCATCATTGAAGCAAGATTTGTTTTTATGGACAATAGTTGTCCAGTTTTAAACATTTGATCAATTTTCACTTAGAATTGTTTGGAGAGAGGCTTTGGAAACCCACACACGTAACTGTACGTTGGTCTGCTTATCCTTGATGTTTTGATAGAAAGACTGCTAAAAATGATCATACATGGCCAAAATACACCTAAAACTTTCTCACAACATACATGTGTGTTATATTACCTTGTATATTATATAAATTACGTATGTAAAACAGGTTAATTTGAACTGAAAACAAAACAACTTTGAACTTGAAAATAAATACTACTAAATATTCAAGTACGCATTAAAAAATGTATTTACATGTTTATTATATCCATTTATGTACCATTCAAGAGAAATACATACACAAAACAAGAGTATCTACATAGTTTTACACATAAATATCTTCAATCCATAATTTAATACTTAATTTATAAAAACATATCAACAACATTATAAAGGTTGAATACATCTCTTAGATATTTTACACAATTGGAAAAGAAAAGAAAAACACTTTACTAGTGGAGAAAAAAAGAATCATTAGTTGTTTAAAGAAAACAAAATTTTGGCTACATATTTTAAAAAATTAGCTAATCATAATACTTTATATAAATTATTAAAAAATATTTTATAAAGTGTATACAATTCCAACAACATTAACAACCGTAACTATTTTCAGTAATAACAAGAAAAATCCATTGTACAAATTCATGGGATATTTGTATTCATCTTATCTTACTAATATAAATACGTACTAAAATTTATGGAGCAAAACAGTGATAAAATGATGTAAAATTTAGCAAAGTTTTGGAAGTTCGGCCCCAAAGCAAACACAAATCTAAGAACCTACTTCCATTGAATTGTCTATTCTATTCGAAAACAATTCCAGCATGCAATTTACAATATTTATTCGGATAACATTTAATTTTTATTACGACCAAATTGAAACATTTCAACGGATCTTTGATCATATTGATACATACAAATTAAAAATGTTTTTTTCTTCGAGAAGAAAACAAAATAACAAAAGTTTCAATGTGTAAAAGCAGGACAAAACACGAATCAAAATCTTCGGATATGAAGTAGTCAACAAACCCCGAAACTTTGCTCGTATCTACACCATTGCAACAACTTGCCGTGGAGATCATCTGAAAAACACTGCGGTGTGAGTAATGTTTGATTTAATAATTTTTTTTTTTTAATTTTAAGTGACTATCCTTGCTGTTTTTGTTAAAGTCAAAGTAAATTTTATGCTAATTGTACTTCAAGATAAAGCTTTGGTTAAAAATATTTTTGCATTTAATTTAAATTTTATCCCTTTGTTCCCACAGCCTTTAAAATTATTGTTAAATTCTGCTCACCATAATCCACACATACAAGAAAAGAAATATTTAAAATTTTGTAAAGCTTTTCTTTTAATTCTAAATAAATCCAGACATCAAACATCATTCAACTAATGCAACTATTTTTCAGTTCCATGATTTATTTTATTTAGTCCTTTAAATATATTACAAAAAAATATCAGAATTAAAGAAAATATCTTGTATTAAAAGGTGATTTATTTTATTTATTTTTTAATTTGTAACAATCAAAAACTTATTGTTTTACTTGTACAGTTTAATATCACAATTGCTTGATAAAGCTGTCATACTTCTTCCATAGAAGTTATTTGTGTTACAAATCACGATTGCCGATTTTTTTTTTTTTTTTCCTGGCAGAGAGAATTAAAGAACAAAATTACTTAAGACTTTTGAGCATTCTGCTTAAAAATAAAGATCACAGCGTTTTCTAGGGGAAATAAAACGCAGTCTTTTTACAATTCACTGTGGGATTATAGAAATTTTTAAAAAAGATTTAAAGATCAGAACATAAGTACAAAAAAATCTCTAAATTTCAGGACTAGCAAGTTTTTACAGAGAAAAATAACTACATTCCAATGATTCATATATAAATAAAAACAATTGTAATTTCACAAATTATAATGAAGTTTTAGAAGTTAATACTGTTTTTACATGTTTAAGACCATCCATAAAAATAAAAAAATAAACAATTTAAAGAACAGAATAATTCTATTAATTTAATGTTTCTAAAAAGCCGTTATTACAAAACCACATACAATACTTTAAAAGGAAAACTGGGAAAAATTGCACTTATTTCCATTCCTGTGAGATGTGATTTCAGTGGCATTTATTTGATTATTGCCATATCGTTATGTACAAACAAATCATGTTTTTTCTTTTCATTTCTTTCTTTTTATGTCACGACCATTAACTGTGTGGTTAAAAAAAAAAAAAATCAAAAACAAAAGTGCCTCACAAGTTCTTCTGTAAAAATGATAGCAACATCGTTTCGTAATGTTTGCTAGCGTCCAGGCTTCTCAGACTGTGCCTCTCTGTTGGATAGACCTAGAACGGTTAAAATCAGTACTTTCTACTGTTACTGTTCAATTGAGAATATTAACAAATCCCACCTGTAATTGGTACGGTTTTCCTTTTCTGACCAACTGGTTGATTAACGAGCTTGTATGTGTAAAATGGACATTTTCGTCTATCAGACCGTGTACGATTAGAAGTCTGTTTTCCCTGGGGAGAAAAAAGGTTTATTTAAAATAAAAACGAATAATTTTAAAGATTCAACGCCTTACTCATCAGGAAACTGGTGCACGTAGGATAATATTGAGCCTGCTTTGTAGCCTTGAAGGTTGTTCGTAGGCAAGTCCATGTACCTCTCTGTATATCCTGTATCGTATAATGACCAGGATGTCACAGGGGCACCAGCAATACAAACCTAAAGATAAAAATAATGATTGTACTTTTATTAATACAATTTTATTGTAATGTATTGAGATTCTGCATTATAGAGATTAAAGTTATTTGATCGTTACTGATGATTTTGGCCTGCCTGGTGGTCTGTCAGACATATTTTTTATGAGGCCGTAAAGGGTGGGATGCATGTATTGACGTTATCTTTGCCTGTGGATTAAGCCTAGGTTTTTTTTTTTTTAATGTTCCAATTAGTCTTTTGGTTTTTATTGTTTATAGTTTATTTACCATACATAAAAACTACTGCAGGCAATAACAGCTTCAGTACAAACATGATCAATACAATAATGAACAAAATAACACCACAAAACCCGACCCTAAATGAACCACATTCACATAGATAGGGAAAGAAAATACAAAAAATAAATTCAACAAATTGGGTATTAACACATTCAATGCGGGTGAATCCACAGTGGAGTCAAGCCACTCTCTCTGAGACATTTTTTTTTCTTTTGCATTTTAGTTAGAAAAGTTGTATAATGTCCCCATAGGGCTGGAATGATTCAGAACAGTCAGGACTATGTTATTGTGAGCATCGTTCCCGAGTCTAACCTTAAACTGATAGGTAGCACTAGAATCACATATCTACTTTCTATGCAGCATATTTTTTCAGTAAATTCACTAATTTTGTGGTCCGCTTGACGAATTAATATATTACAATTAATCAAGGTTTTTAATTGAGATAAAAAAGTCAATGGCACGAGCTGGATTCGAACCCACGATCTTCGGCTAGATACGCCGCTGCTCTCCCACTTGAGCTATCGTGACCTCGATCCACTCGGACATTAACTTCCTAATCTCAACTACACCTTTTGAATTTTCCCTCCTTTTTGCCATTTTTCAAATGTCGTGTAATCGGATTGGATTCTCGACGACAAATGAAATGGCCACGGAGAGCTTTAGTGAAGCATACTTCATTTCAAATCATTAAATTCACTAATTTCGTGGTCCGCTTGACCAATTAATATATTACAATTAATCAAGGTTTTTAGTTGAGATAAAAAAGTCAATGGCACGAGCAGGATTCGAACCGGTAGAGCAGCGGCGTTATCAAGCCGAAGATCGTGGGTTCAAATCCCACTCGTGCCATTAACTTTTTTATCTCAACTAAAAACCTTGGTTAATTGTAATATTTCAGTAAGTTTGACCTTTCTTCTAAATAATATATGTTTAAAATAATATATGTTTATTATATAATTTTCCCTCTTTATGCCATTTTTCAAATGTATAATCAGGATTCAAATCTCAGCGACTTATGAAGTGGCCACAGGGAGATGTTAGCAAAGTGATTGCTTCTTTAATTATTATATTAATTCGTGTATGTTTAGCGGTCATAATTAATCGTTAATATAATTATTTTTAATTATAAAACTTACCTTAAACAAGTCAGGATACTGGGCCAGGCCCATTAAACTTAGATAGCCACCGTAAGACCATCCAAATATGGCCACCCTGGACATGTCGATTATTCCCAATTCTCTCGACAACCAGAGCAACATTTCAATTTGATCCTCGAGTTCAACAGTGCCCTAAATAAAAAGGCCATTTATTTATTATTTGTAACTTTTCAAAATCCTGAAAATCACAATTACCATTCTGTGCTTGATGTGCGATTCAAACGCCAATCCCCGATTGTACGAACCTCTCGAATCGATTGAAACAACGCAGTAGCCTTGCGACGCCAACATGTGAATTCTCAAATACCTCATGTCCTTTAAATGATTGATTGTCATGAATTGATATTTGTTTTGTAATTGTAATGATTTTTTACCTTAAAGGTATTCGTAACGATTTGGACCTCGGGTCCACCGTACACGTTAAGCACCGTGGGGTATTTCTTCCCAGGTTCTGCATTGTACGGCTTGAAAACCATAGCATATAGTACGTCCCCAGACGATATTTCATGGCTATAAAGCTCTGGAAAATATAACGGCCTTTCTGGTGCTGCAAAAAATTTTTTTAAAAATATATTAATACCACTTAAAAAGACCAAATTTATAAAACCTACTAATCAAGAACTTTATTTGAAATTTTTATAGAATTTCACTTCAATTTTTTATTTTAATAATTAAATAGTTAAAACTAACAACTAATGACTCAGAGAATAGCCAAGTCTAACTCCCTTAATTTTTTTTTTTTTTTTCATTTTTAACAAAAAGTTCAAGAGACTGCAAATGTTGATAATATTTATAATAGTAATTAATTCATACTAACTTTGAGGTTCAACGAGGTGCCCAATTGGTGTCAGATTGACACCATCAACTGTCGAGTCGGTGTGTGTGATCCTAAACACGAGGCATGCTGGTAATTTCCTGATATTTGAATATGTAGCAACAGCAATATTACACTCCTAAAAAACAATAAACAATATTAGAAATATATACAAACTTCCAATCGGTCAATTTTGGACCTATTTTTAATTGGCTCTATCTTTTAAATTATTACAATTTTCTGTCAATATTTACATTCGAATCATCAAATTTTCACACTGGTTGGTGGCTCATGAGTAGGTATATACATCCTATGCACTAGGACCAATTCAATGGGAATGAGGGATGCGATGAGGAGGGTGGACTTCAACATACCAACTAAATGTCAGACATGTGGGGGTGGTATGGAGACCCTCTCCCATGTGCTGTATTTTTGCTTGGAGCATCATCCAAAAATAAGGACTAATCAACTGTCTTCATGACTAGGGATACCAGGTCGTCATCGAAATTCTCCTCTGAGCACCAGATGGGACTAGGCTCTGGTCAGATATTGTCTCCACCAATAAGGAGGATATATTTGTTCTGGGCCTTGCAGTGGCAAATGAAACAGCAGGGGCGTTGGATCAAGAAGAGGACCTCAAGGTGCAGAAATACGGAGTGTAGGGAAGCCCTTACAAAATTACTCAGGAAAACATTTATTTCGAGCATAGTAGTGGGGGCATACCTGAGCATACTAAAATGTCACTCAGCAGTATTAATTTCTTTATTTTTTTTTTATTTTTTTTTCTCAGGAACCTCAAGAATAATCCTCACTGCTTGGAGTTCTCACTATTCATAGACTGCTGACATGTTAGAGTGAAGCTTTTCAGCCACTCGTCTGACAATTATTATTGAGCACACCAACCAATAGTGACGGACCCTAGCAATTCATAACGGTACACAATTAATTGGACCTGAGGTGAGCATGAAGTTGGGTAGTCGGAGACTTATACCAAAGGACATGGACACAAGCAAAGCTGGAAAGGGGTTAGTTTTTAGTTAATCAGGAAAAATACAAACCATTGGGTTAACGACAGAGTTAGTTGACCTGAGGATGAAGAACTAGGGAGTGTTCCAGTAATGACTATGTAAAGCTTAAAATTTAAATTTTATCCACAGTGAGCACTGGAGGAGGGGATCGGCACAATACGCCAGTGGACGATTTCAAGATTCGGCCTTCTTGCTTTGCCTTATTTTTGGCTCTACACTTTTCCTTTTTTTTTCTATTTTGTGACAAGTTTTTGTTCTTTTTTTTATTATTATTTGAAGAAAAAGCCACCCTAAGGATCCTGCATCCTTGAATAAAATTTATTTATTTTCAGAAAGGCCCATTTTCTCAATTCTTTAAAATACCCCATACTTTTAACTATTTTATGCAAACCATTATACCTTCTGTTTTTTTAAACTACACCTTATTAGCCTGTTTTACCATTTTAACTATAATACCAATAGCAAACATATCATCGTTTGTATTGCATATTAATTTAAAGAGAGAAGTATCAATACGTGAATAGACTTTTTTTAAAGGTACATTGTAAAAAAAATAAAAAATAAACTGATTACCTCGTTGATATTGACTGTATATGAAAACCCGGTATGTGTTAGAAGCCTGACGTTCCCTGGTGCATTCAAGGAAACAACGTAAAGGTGGCGTTCCAAAGGTGTGTCCTTTAATGCCATGAAGTAGACCAGGCCGAGCTGAGTATCAACCCAGAGGCCTTCATCCAAAACTACCCATTTTCCCGAGGTGAGAGCATCCTGGCTCCAGTTCCGCCTATTCACTGTAAACAATTTTAAATCAGCACTTTCATTCTCTAGAGAACTTCTGCTCATTCTTACAATGCGTCCCATCATAGTTTTCAGACACCCCGTTTGTTATGTTGGACAGCGAAGACGAGATGAGGTAAAGGTGCCTGTAACCAGTTTCTTCCATAGCCCATATCACCTTGATCTGGCCAGGCTCTGTTTCAGGTAATATGTATAATAAATCACTTACCTGCAATTTAGAAAAAAAATGTAAATTAAGTTTATTATTTTTTTTAAGAAGCATAAATAATCAAAATTTAATCCTTACATTAATCCAAATGTCAGAAACTTGTCTAGCAATGATATGCACAAGAGGGTTCGTTTCATCAACGGTTTCATTTAATTTGAAAATGTTGGGTGGAGGTTCTACGAAATTTTCTAATGATATAACAATCAATTCTAGTTTCTTTTGCCGCCTATCCAACAGTTGGACCCAAATACTATAAATTTTAAAAAAAAAGTTTAACACCAGGAATTTATTTTCCTTATGGGACAACGCACTGTTCTGAATCTGGTGTCCAGCCGACTCGCACGACATATTCCATCCAAGGGAACATGTGTGAAAGGCTGTGCTGCAATTCAAGTGTCCTCCGTTTTACGATCTCATTCTCTGTCACGGTCAGCTCGATGAGTTTCAGATTAGACTTTGAATTGGGAGAGCCAGCTCTTGGAAACCTTAACAAAAATTATTATGAAGTTCGGCGTAAATAGGTTTTAAATGTTAAACCTGAATTTACCTATATTGCTCTACGTCATTTAGAAGTGAAGTTGAAGAAGGAAATGTAAAAACTTTGACTTCACTATCGTCGACTTCTTCATACAGTAACCTGTAAATTCCATCTTAAAAAAAAATTACAAAAAATTAAAAAAACAGTAAAATTTTGAAATTTTGGGCAGATTAGATAAATTATACACTAAGATTGTTTTACCTTTAGATTGAGGCTGCCACCAGCAACCTTGGTACCTTGAGAATTCTTCCTGGATGACATAGCTTGGTACACCAGAAGAAAGAGGGTCATCGGCGAGGCTCCGACTCCCCTTGTGAGAGTAAGTCAGCCTTTCAGACGTTCCTGCAAACACCAATTTAGAATTGACAAACGACAATCAATTATACGGTTAATCGTACCTGAGGCTTCGTGTGACACCCAGATGTCACAATTTGAAACAAAGGCTATCAAGTCGGGGTTCGACGGGCAAATCAGAGGGGTGAGTTTTGCCCCAGTCGTACCAGTTCTCAGTTCTGATGGGAAGAGGGGACCATTCTGAAAATAGATGAACATATTAGAAAAAATACAAAACTATTAAAGTAAAATTATTAAAGTTTACCCTATGTGGGCTGTCTACACATTGATAAAGGGTAGAAGCTGCTGGGAACACTATTTTTCCTGACTCAGGGTGCAGTTCGTAAGAAGTGATACCCCAAGTTGTAAGTCTTTTCCTTTCCAACATTAGTTGTTCTTCCCTTGATGAACTATTAAAAAATAAAAAATAAATCTTTTTATTAGCAAATAAATAAATTTTGTTTTAAACTAAATAAAATGGATCTAGAGGATGTTCTGTAGCAAATACTCACTCTAATGTTTTTTAGATACAATTTGTATTATGTTAGAGGAAAACTTACGAACTGATAGTAGGGGTGGTCTGGAAATTAAATTCGAGAAGCTGTTGCCATTGCAGCTTGCCCATGATACTCTGGGCGCCGCTCGGCACGTCTGCGAAGTGCAGGGTCGTCTCCCAACCGTTTGTGAGCGTGCCGAGAAAAAATATCCGTATAGTGCCATCATCGAGAGTTCGAAAGTCTACGGCAGTTGGGACAATGGCCGATATAGCAGAGAGTTGCCGGCGTAGTTCACAGAGTTTTGACTTCAAGTCCTTCCATGATTTTGTCGGATTGTTGACTCCCTCCCATTCGCATCCATCCTCCATCTCACAAGTCCTCCCCCGTGTTGTACTAGAAAAAAAAAATCATAGTTGACTTGATTGAATTTCATTTCTAAAAAGGCAGGAAACAAAAAATTATTATTGATAATGACATCACTAGAGCATCAAATACATTTTAAATAAAAGTATCACAGGTTTCAGTATATTGCATACTCAGTTTGGTTTGGAACACCATGACAAAATCCTGGGCAGGATAAAATTAAGCAAGATGGCTGCAAAGGTCTGGCAAAATTAAAAACAAATAAGTTGCCGAACTTGGTAAAGACGATTAAAAAACAAAGGCACCAACATCCATTGGACAAGTACCAGATTATAACTCTTTCAATCATGAATCAGACAGAAATCGAATGAAATTATAAAGCTCTTTATTGCACATTAAAATACCATCCAAAAACAGAGGTAAAGTAGGGAGAGAAACTTGTCGAATTGGTAAGAAGACTGCAATTGAAACATATCCAATACAACATTTAATCCTTAGCCTGGATATGGTACCATTGCGTTAAAAAGGCAATAATGAAAAACCAAAAATATTAGTGAAACCCTAAAAGCTGCTAAATTTGGGCTGGAATTTCAATTTTAAACCCTCTAGGCATTAATTTTTTTTTTACACATTACCTGCCTGTGGGTTGCCATACAGTGGTTGTATTCCTCTTATACCCCTCCTGAATGTCTGTCCCATTGAATCAACTAGCGCAAAAGCAATTAACCATGAATTAGACACACTAAAGATAGCGAAATACCTAAACACATGATCAGTAACAACCGTATTACAGATTCATTACCTCGCATACTACACAGGGAAATCTCATAAGATAAAATTTAAAGAAATGAAGAGAAAGAGAGAGCGAGATATGAGAGATATTATGATCTTATGCAAGGCATCCAATCCTTTGTCAGGGGGCGTTGGTGGTCGCAACGGTTTAGGCGATGACACGGCTCTCATCACTGTAAGGTAAAGATCCCGGGTTCGAATCCAGCGGCCCTGCATTCGAACTCGACATACTTACAAATGGGCTTTTTTTCAAAAACACCGGCACCCCTGAGGCAACCTCTGCTGTTGCGAACCCTCGTTTAAAAAAGAAAAAAAAACCTTGGTCACCTTTGTTACCAATCATCGAATATTATCGGTTTATATATATAAAAAAAAATACTGTTCAACCACCAATTTTCTGCATTTATGAGAGAATTTATCTTATTGCTGTTTTTCAGTCAGTATCTATGGCCATTACCGGCACCTCGCACATTAACAATTCTCGCGTTTTCGAGTAGGGTATTTTGGTACCCCACTCTGTTCGTTACTCGTCACCCGCCCCCTTATAAACTGTTAATTTCCCTCAATTAAAAGAACAACTTTCACACATGTTGACAGGTTACTGAGGTACTCGATATTCCGTCAGTAACCCGTCCTCATTCATAACCACATACACCCTATACTAATCCTAAAATGACATTTGGCGGGCTGTCATGGTGCTGCGCATGCCGACGACGACCCGCCCTCATTTATACACATCTACACTGTTTAACATACATTCCATCCTTGCTAATAAATACATTCACTCCAATAAATACGCTCATCCAATAAGTACAGATAAAAACAACATTCTTACTCACAACATTCACTGCAAGATCCTCGCCACTACATACATACGAAATCCAGTTCTACTAAGGAGGTGGATCAAATTAATTGATATGCGTTCACTGCTCTCAGATATCTAAATAATTTCATTTTTTATTTATAATAATAATAAAATTGCTGTTATAGTCAATTCCAGGCTCTTTTTTTTTTTTTTTTTTTTTTTTTTTTTAAGCATAAACGTCTATTTGAACTTAATTACATTATTTTAAAGTATCAAATCAGCCCAGAGAAGTGATGAAGTAATAGTACTGATCTTTCAGAATCTAAAAAAACATGTTGTATTAAAATATTATTTTTTCGACTACAATTAAGAAGCTTCAATCAAAAGGGACATTCCATGAAAAAAAAAATCAATTCTATTGGGATTCCAGAGAGTTGGGAACCTTGGAAAATTGGTCCTTTAAGTATCCAGTTATCTAACTGGACAAATCAAATTTTGGCAAAATGAGCGTGTGCCTGATCCTGTAAGTCTTTAGGCCTGACAGACTATGTATAATTTTGTACCGAATACCTAAACCTTAAAATCGTAATCCTGAAAATTATCAATAAATTTTTTTTAAATTTTAAATAAATAACCCAAGAAGAGATGGATTCCATCCTAGGAGACCAATGCCAAGACGTGAGGTTGTTGCGGGACAAGGCTACGCTTAAGTCTCCTGTGAGCACTATTAGTAACATGGTGGATGACTGGTTTTTGACAAAAGGGTTCAGATGATGGGATAGTTTGGAATAAACTGTTTTTTATTTATGTAACAGTGATGGACTTCTCAAAAATATTATACCATGAAGTACCACAATACTATACCTGAGCTAATAACACATTTTTCCACAGGAGGCAGGATAAAGATCCTAATAAAAAAATATAATGGACTTGAAAGAGTAACGTTCACCCAAATCAAAGTGTTTCCATGTCAAAATTCACTTGCAGCATATTCATGAGCCTATTTATTTCAGTATTTGTGCACGATAAATGATGAAGTAAAGGAAACTTATCAAACAGCTTGCAAAGAATAGAATCTTTTAGATGATGAGAATTGGCAAAATACCCTTAGACATGCCGTGATTTCTCAATCGGGCTTTCAACTGAGAGAATTATTTGTATACCCCATTAAACTATCTTCTACTTACGACAATTAAGGAGAAATGTATAAATATGTGGGGTTAGATTTGTGGGAAAAATGTTTCGTCATATGGACAATTATACGTAGATTCCTCAAGAACCAACTCAATAAATAAAGTTTCTTGACAAATTTGCAATTAATTATTCAAATTTTCTTTCTGTTAGAGCGAGGCCTACTGCTAGTTTTTAATAAATAAAGTTAAAAGAAAAAACTCCTACCCCGTCATCCGCTAAGCAAAATTACACCATTTTTTGTCTAATTTATTGGTCATTCTATTTACAAAACGATACTCTTAAGTATCAAATTGCATTGTAAGTGACGTTGATTTTGGTTTTTCACTATGTTTCAGCAGGATTTCAAGGAGGCTTAGTATATGTCTTTGGAGTTGTTTACATTGAAAAATTTCATCACATTTCATCAATAACAACTTGTTTACTGAATTATTATGTAAAAATTATTACAAGCAATCTTAATAGCCAACAATTTACAGTGAGTCAAAAACACAAATATTGACCTCTGCACATACTGAATCCTTCATAACATTGTTTTTTTTTGTATAATTATTAATGATTCATAATTTAGATTATTTTATTTTATTTTATTTTATTTTATTTTTTTTTTTTTAACAGAAAGTAATACTTTATTTGTCAAGGAGTCAGTACAAGTATACAGTTTTACATCTAACATTTTAAAATTGGCAGTGAAGTTAAAACTTATAAGGAATATTGTAGAATGAACTTATAAGAAATACTTATTACATAATGAATACAATAGACAAACATCGATAATACTTTAACACATAAACATAAGAATTCTTAATCACTTAAGTTGCAGGAGTACAAAAAATATTTAGATTTGATTATATGTATAATTCTAGATAGAGGGAGAGAGAGAGAGAGAGAAATATAAACTAAAATAAAAACAAAAAGACAAGAAAAAAAGAAAAGAGAAGGAAAAAAGAACAAAATACACAATTAGGGAGATATTCCTATCCTTACAATTTTATAATAATGGTTAAACTAAAGATATCAGACTTTTTATTCTTTTTCCTTTCTCTCCTCCCTCATCTTCTCCTCTCGATTTTATTACTCTTTTAAAATTAAAAGTACATGTCTTTGTGCATTTATTTGTGTTTTACATTTATTTATGTCCAGTGGATAGTTGTTATAATAAAAACTATCTTTGCTACGTGAGCGTTCTTTCCAAAGTATTGAAATTTTTCAATTAATTATTCTTTTTATCTAAGGTCTAGGTTAAGATGAAAAATTAGTGTCATGAGTGGCATTAGAACCCATAACCTTCGGCTCAATACGCCACTCCTTTAACCACTTGAGCTATCGTGACTTCCATCCCCTCAGACACCAACTCCCCATCTCAGCGTACAATCGTTTGAATTTTCCCTCTTTTTTGCCATTTTTGAAATGTTGTGTATTCAGGATTCGATTGTCAGTGATTTATGAAGTGGCCACAGGGAGCTGTTAGTAAAGTGATGCTTCTTTACTTATTATATATTAATCCATTTATGTTTAATGGTCTAATTGAACATATTAATTATTCCAATTAATTATTCCTTTTAAAAGAAATTCAAAAGATAAAGTTAAGAATGCAAACGGAGATAAGTTATTAGAATTATTTGATAATTTAAATCTGTTTGTTTTGAACGGAAGATCAGAGAGAGATAAAGAAGGACATTACATGTATGTTAGTGGTTCAGGAAATTCTGTAATAGCTCTTTGCTGTGTGAGTGTAAATATTTTGAAAACTGTAAATGATTTTGTGGTACTTACAGAGAGTTTTTCCGATCACATGCCTCTCTCCTTTGTCACAGAAAATGAAATAAATACAGAACAAATTAAAAACTTCACCATGCCTCTGTTGCCAAAATTAATTTGGTCTAAGGTGGATGAAAAGAAATTTATGGGGGAAATTAGAAGCCGAAACAGAGAAACTGGATGGCTATCTGGTGAACCAGAAAACGAATCTGTACTACAGAATTTGATAAAAATGTCCGCATATAATGGTAATATATATAAACGTTATGAAGTAAAAAAAGGGGGTAGGCGGAATAAAGAGGTATGGTTCGATAGGGAGTTAAATGTTATGTAAATGTTCATTTAAATGGCTAACTATCTTTAGAAGTACAGTCCGGATTACAATAGAAAATTATATGTGAAGTCTAATATAAAATATAAAATTATCTGTGGAGTTAAAAAAAAAAACAGTACTATAGTACTATTTGTAACAATTTTAAATTTGTTAAGATTCTGGGGGCTTTTGGAATTTGGTGGGCCAACTTGTTAGAAGGAAATTTTTGTGCAGTTCTGTTATAGAGGCGCAAGAATGGGTAAAACACTTCTCTCTTCTTCTCAATCCTACAACGGAATTAAAATGTATTATGTTCGCACCTCCTTATATAGTTGATGTGAAACTGGACGCAAAAATATCGTTCAATGAACTTCAAATTGTATTAGGGAAAGCTAAACATAAGGCCCCGGGTTTAGCAGAATTCCGGATGAATTTTTTAAAAATAGCCCACGTAACTTCCTAGAAAAACTATTGGATAATTTTAATTTAATTTTGAAAAAGGTTTAGTACCATCATCATTCAAAAAATCTATCATTTTTCCTTTATTTAAGCAAGGTGAAGTGAATACTGTCAGTAATTATAGAGGAATATCCTTTACTGACACTATTTCTAAGATATTTATGGGGATACTACTGAATAGATTAGAAGAATGGTGTAATTTAAATAATATCTTGGTAGAGAGCCAGACAGGATTTCGGAAAAAATATTCCGCTGTGGATAATATTTTTAGTTTAATTAACATTATAAAATTGAAATTATCTGTAAAACGTAGAAAAGTTTACTGCTGCTTTGTTGATTTTAAGTCGGCGTTCGATTTGCCAAGCAGAATGGCCATTTTCTATCAACTGTATAATTATGGGATCTCCAGTAAGTTTATCGAGGTATTAAAGTCGTTGTATAGTGGGACTGAGAGTGCTGTGTGGTGTAGGGGAGAGGTCACAAGTACCTTGAAACTAGAGTAGGTGTAAGGCAGGGCTGTCTGCTTTCCCCTCTTCTCTTCTCGCTGTTTATTAACGATTTACCCAAGTTTTTGGATGGCGGTCTGTTTGTCAGAGCATCAAATGTAAACTGTTTAATGTATGTAGATGATGTGGTTTTGATGAGTACTGAACCGGTTCAATTTCAAAAGATGTTAAACAGGTTGGGAGAATACTGCCGAATGTGGAATTTGTCAGTAAATTTGAATAAAACTAAGATTATGGTGTTTAGAAATGGCAGTAGACCATCAAAGAATGAACGATGGTTTTTAGAAAATGAAAGAATAGAGGTAGTAAAAGAGTACAAATATTTCGGTGTAATGTTGACTCCTCTACTTTCCTTCAATATGCATTTGGCCAATACACTTAGGGTTGCTAAACAAGGATTGAATATAACGTGGAACGGTATTCTCAATAGAGATGTTCCTATAAAAAGTAAATTTAAAGTTTTTAATTCCGTCTCTAGGGCTGTGATGTGTTATGCGTCACAAGTATGGGGCTACCATCAGTATGAAGTGGTAGAAAAACTTCTTTGTTTTTTTATTAAGAAGTTGTTTGGCGCTCCCTATTATACACCAAGTTATTTTCTTTATTCGAAATTAGGCTTAAGACCTTTGTTTGTGTATACGTTGAGGAGTCATTTAAATTATATACAGCGGGTTTTGTGTCTGAAACAAGATCGTTTGCCCTACCTTCTTGCTCAGAGATAATAAAAATAAAAAAATTTTTTGGTTTAGAGAATTGAAAGTGTTATCTTCCGGACTGAACTGTAGTTCTCGTATAAATTTTACAGATGTGAAAGATTTCAAAATTTGAGCAGTACAATTATTGCAGGCAGTAGAAACTCATCATAAAGAAGAATGTTTAAGAAAAGTGCAATGTTCTACATACCATTTAATATACAAGAAATTGAACTTCGATCTTGGGGACAACAATTACTTGTATAAGGAATACAACTGGAATTTGATCAAAGTTGTTTTTCGTGCGAGGTCAATTATTATATTTAAATTTTAAGCCTTGGCTGGAGGAAAGAGACCAAGCATGCTATATGTAAACTAAAAACGGTGGAAGATTTGTTTCAATTTTTGGAGTTTGTCCAACTTTGGAGAACGTTAGGTTAATTTGGTTCCACAGATGTCGTTTGACATTCCGTGAGTATATAGAACTGTTAAATGGGAAAGATTGGTTTAGTTTGTATAGATATATTGTAGATGCGCTGAATTGCAGAGATAATTTTATATTAAGTTTATAATTTGTATGTTAATTTAAGTTTTATTTGAATGTAAATATGTAAGGGTCAACTGGCAGACAACTAGATCATGCCATTACAAGTATTATTTTGTTATTTTGTAAAAAAAAATGTAATATTTTTTTTTCTAAATATACTTTTATAAATAAAATAATAATTATTCCTTTTAACTAAGGTTTTTGGTTGAGATGGAAAATTAGTGCCATGAGCGGGATTCGAGCCCACAACCTTCGGCTCAATACGCTGCTGCTCTGAGCTATCCTCGTTTCAATCTACAACCGTATGGTCAATTATGACCACTAAGCAAATATGGATTAATTAAAATTTTTTTGCAGTTAACTTCTAATGATTTTTTTGCAGTATTTTTCAAGTGTGTAAATTTTTCTTTGATGTATACTTTTTAATTGGTAGTATTTTGACTTTGGCCAATCAAATCCAGTTCCTAGGTCAATACGTTGAACTATTGACTTATTTATGGTAGATGTTTATATTTTTGTGACTACACATGTATGCTATAAGCATATTTAGTTTTTGTTGTTGTAATTAAATGGTCTTTGTTTTTGTCAATTTTTGCTTAATTCTTTTGGATTGGAGCAAAATAAACGTTTTAATATTTGTCGTGTCCATTTTCCAACTGGAATTCAGGTCGTGCCTGGAATTCCAGGGAGTGGCCAAACTCGTTATTCTACCAGGGAGACAGTTATGGAAACATTCGAGATAAGAGATATCAGTGGTAAATATTTAAAAAAATATTGTCGTGTAAAGGGAAAAAAAGAAGTTCCGAGGGGTTTGCCCTGAAAACGGATTCCCTGGGCGATCCGGATTGAAATTCGTCTCGTTTCCCAATCCAAACTGGTATATAATTTTAGACGAAACGCTCCCGAATATCTAGGTTATGCCCCGGAAAGTTGGGTAAAACGGTCGAAAGTCGGGTCTCGGATGAGAAAATCGGCTCACCTTCGAACGAGGAACGGCCGGTTTTCGCAGAAATCCCTTCAGCTCGGGGACGAGTCGGACGACGGCGGAAGAAAAACGGCCGGAGGTGGTCGGCGATCTGTGTCGAAATCGGAGAAGGAAACGAGGCAAAGACCGTCGAAAGGTAAAACCTCCGTCGAAAGTCGAAACGACGGATCGACCGGCCGATCGACGGAGACTCGACTCGATATCATTCGATGTAACCGTCTCACGGGTTTTTACTCTTGACTCTACCCGACCACCGATTCCTAGCACGATGTGGATTTTCCTCACAAAATAAATAAAGAAAAAGGTTTGTCTAGATTTACATTTAAAAAAATTTTGCCTTTAATCCTCCAAAAAAATGTATAAAGTTTAAAAAAAAACTGCTTAATTTTGCTAGTTTCAGATGAGTTGTTTTTCACCACCTTACTTTTAAAAAATTAGAATTCTTTGTACCTATCATACTGCATTTTTCAAGAATTATTTTATCCCCATGATCTGTCGTTAACAAACATCCCTAAATCATCAATGAATTTTTTACTTTTATGAATTTTATCTGCCGGCCATAATGCCCTAAAACATTTTTTAAAATAGTATATAATATACATACAGTATTACTGTCTACTGTGCAAGTGTGGGCCTATTCTTAGGCCGGGTTCACACTTGAGCGATAAGATATTTATCGCAGAAGATTTTTATCGTAAGATAAGAGGTTCGTACCGAAGCGATAAGACATAAGCCAGCCAGCCAGTCTCAATACCAGTGTCCTCACTCTTTGAATTTGCCATCTTCACCCTTCGCAATATTGTATGACACTGAAAGAAGAGAGCAGCAGGCCATGCCCTTGGTACAAGTATCTTACAACACAAGTCTCATTGTGGATTAATTTTGTAGTTCATGTTTTTTATAGGACTGAGCGTTGCTTATCTTACAAGACATCGTGTATCGCTTATGACTTAAAGATGTGTATAATCGGTCTGGTGTGAATCCTACCTTAGCCTAGGCACATTCATTCTTTTGTTAATTGAGCAACAGTTTGATGCCAGGAACTGCAAAGGGTTTGAAACCATGCACACTTGTAACTATAGGCGAGTACACTCTAAGCAGATCTTGGCCAATGAAAGACAACTATTCGCTTTATTGGTCATTATTTGCTTAGTTTGTATAGGAGGCGAATTGGAGCCAACAGAGTGGTTCGCCTTGGTCGAGGTTTGGACTTTGTTCAAATGGGTGACACTGTAATTAACCACAGCCAAATCCCTTGATTTGATTAGGATCAGCCAAGGATAGCCAATGTTGACCAATGTTCAGCTCGGTAATATTTGTTTTTCGTTGGCCGAGATTAGTGTGTACGTGCCTTAACATGCACTGTAAATCCAACCAATTACATTGTTTGTATTTTATCACAAACTCGACGGTTCACAACTGTATACTTTTTGTTTTTGAAACAGAGTTAAAGGCAACCAAGCTCACTGCAACATAACGATTGCCCAATTCCTTTGTGTGCTCTGAAAGCAGTCAGTATTTATTCAGCAGATTGGCAAGAAAACATGTCTTTCCTCCATTTAGTATCTTGGTAGGTGATGTTAGGCCGAGTCAAGTCCAGAGGTCTCATAAATGTGTTTGTAATTTATAAAATTGCCCCTTTGTTTTTCTTTTCTTTTTTTTTTTTTTTTTTTCAAACTGATGGTTGATGAGAGGATGCACTCAATATTTTTTCCCTCATTTTCTTCCTTCTTCTTAACTTGAGAGTACACACAGTAGCTAACTCAATGAAGTCCGCTTACAGCCTCAAACTAGACTATTTAGTTGCTCAAATGTGCGCAGTTAAGTAGATAGCTACTACTTGTTTAGTAGATTTTGAAACTGTTGTGCATTTAAAAATTACATGTGTGTGCCTAGGCTTGGACCTCCCTCTTTCACACAAGGTAAATAATACATATGTATACAGAGCTGAGCCTGTCACTTCTCATAGTCTGCCGACAATATCAGCTTTTGTGTAATTTACAGTAAATTACCAGCAGGCCTCGAGAATCACTCAGCTGTTGACAGACCAGGGTTAGGATTTGGTCTTGAGTACACACTAGCAAATCTTGTACAATGAAAGACAGCCAATACATTGGTCCGAACGTTCGTCACCAACACATCGGCCATCTTTGGCTCATCGTCATCAAACCAATGGGTTGGGGCCAAGGGATTCGGCCTTGTGGAATCGAAGTTGGCTCAAAAAAAAAAATTAGACTTCATCAGCACCACTTCCAGTATTGTTTTCTTTTCTTTGTCTTGGAAAAAAGATGTCAATAAAGATTCCATTTCCTTTTTTACATCATTCACACTACCTTCAAAGCTCCCTCCCTACAAGCGTCTAATCTTTTCTATTTGTTTAAGCGTTCGTACAATCCCATAAAATTTCCGTTCACGATAGAAGCCAATCAGTTTTAGTGCAGTCTTATTATTCCACTACATATTCCAGCGTTTTTCAGCACAAGAAGAATGAACCAATGAATGATCAAGCCAGCGTCTACACTAGGAGGAGGTCTTTAGGCAAACCCAGCGTCAAATCTTTTGAACCGCCAGCAATCAGAACTGTGCCAAGGCCAACTGCTTTGTTAGTTTTGATTCGCCTCGCGTACACATATTGTCCAGCCATCGAGATTGGTCATTTCAGCCCCCATCGCAATCAGTCTCAATCCAAACCCATTCACACTCTCACTGTCTCTTATTATTTCCTATTTATATACCATTTGCCCAGTAGTGGAATATTTGATATTCCTCCAACACTCTCCACACATTTTATATAACTAATCTTATTGGGGGTCAATATGGTACTCAGTATCACGCCATCGGCCCTCACACTACACATTCAAGCTAATAAATACATAAAATTCTGTGTTTTGATTGACTTGAAATTCAATGATCCTCGGTAGTGGAATCATTCAGTCTCTTGTAAAGGCTTAATTTTTTTATATTCTTTGCTTTACAGGTTGTTATTGAGAAGGTATTTACATTAATTTTTCCCCCTCCAGATACAATGAGTGGAATAGGAGGAATATTAAGAGCATGGGTCCCACAGGCGCAAAGCGTGAGATTCCGCTTCTACGCCGACAAGATCGCCGAAGGCCGTAAGTTATATCGTCATGGCTATAAGGAATCCATCCTTCAGAGGGGGACACTTCCTCATGTCGATGGGCTCAAGCTTCCGATGCCGATCTACAAGCCAGGCGACAACTGGTCACAGAAGAAGGCTCTGTTTGGGCAGAACGATTACATCGACATCCTTGCTGGCAACCCTTCCAACCCCGACCCAGGCCTACATCCGGCGAAAATACTCTACCACCTTCCCTCTTGGTTGCGTGGCGTCAGAGGCAATGAGTACCAAATGCTGCTAAAACAACGTAAAGCACTTATCACCACCAAATATCCACTTGTGAGGCCTACCAAATGGAGGGACCTCAACTTAAGAATAAGTTATTTGTACAGGTTTTTGAATAGAAAAACTAGAACTTGGTTTAGTAAAAAAAAGTAATTTTTTTTTTGTCCTTTTTTTATAGTTTACTGTTCTAGTTAATAAAGATTATTTCCAATCAATGTTGATACTTTTTTCCATAAAATTTATGTTTAACTATTTTTACCATATTTAACTTTATCCTAAAAGTTTGGATACATTGGTAATAAAATTCGAAAACTTAATTTATAAAAAACACAAAATGAAAAAAATAGAAATTTAACTTATTTTTTTATTGAAACATACAAAATATAATTCTTCTAAATAGTAATCAAATATATTAACAATAATCAAGCATTTATCATAAAATGTTTTTATTGTTATAAAATATGGACTATATAAAATACAAAAAAAATTATTGTGGGATTATTTCCCACCTCAAATCTTTAAAAAAAATTATCTCTATCCTAGTTGTACAATTATTATCACACTCTAGGGTCTGTTCAAACTAGGCCAGTCCATTTTTATGTTGAGCTTATATCATACATAATTATATACACATTTACACTGTCCAAATTTTTCCCCCTTAACAAAGATGCAACAAAATAACTGAGATTTCTTACATTTCTGATCTTTTTTTTCATTTGTTTTTCCTCAAAAACTATTAAAAAAATTGTCAGGCTGAATTGAACAAATAAAACTAATACAATGAAAAACACCAATTTGGATTCATTAATTATATGATTAGTCTATTTTAGATTTTTAAAAAATAATAATATGAGTATGATAATAATTTGCTGTGCCTTTAAACTTAAAGCTCCACCTACAAAAAAATTTAATATTTCAAACCATTGCCGTACGTAAACAAAAAATAACATACTTCCTGTTTTACAGTATCCTCCATAATTGTAATAGCCGTTGTTACAAACGCACACGGAGCTTAAGCAATCCATTGTATTTTTGTATTCTTCACCAATATAACATTGGCTTTTATTCCAGCAACTTTCTCCCAAGCCTGCAAAGGAAAAAAAATATTAACTTTTTATTTTTCTGTTTTAATGGTATTGAATTACCTCTGTTGCGAATACATTCACCGTCAAAATGGTGACTTGGGAGGCATTCACATTTCTGCCTATGGCAGAAAGAAGCCTCGCCCAAGCCCTCTTGGCATTGATTGTCTAATATGCACGGTGCAAATACAAACTTACCAACTGGAGATTTTAAAAAAACAATAATAAATAAATAAACTGGAAAATAAATTTATACACAACTGTACATACTCGGAAGGCATTCTCTGTTGTGAGGGTCTGAGACAAAACCGTGATTGCAGACACAGTATCCAATTTCATTATTGTCAAAAACACAATTGGACGACTTAAGCGAAGTACAGTCATAGTTCGAATAACATGGTGAACCTACAGCTGTTAACACAAGGTTATATTTCAAATTGGGTGTTTTCAATTTTATACTATAACTTACTGGCAACACAGTTTGTCTGGTCTTCGTTGGAAATAAAATTTGGTCTGCATTCACAGCTCTGCTGATGATAACAGTATGAATGCTCCATGATGCAGTCATCGTCAAAATTACAGTTGTCGCCTATCATATATCCTTCTCCTGAAATATTCAACAAACTTGAAATACTAGAATAAACACAAAATAAAATTGAGGTCTGTTGGATGATGGACTTATTTGGTCATTTCCAATAATTTTGATCTGCCTATTTTTGCCATTTTGGTCTGTCAGTCCTTAGGTAAACTAAAAGATATTGAAATGGCCAAGATATAACTAAGTAATGTATAATGTAATGAATAAACTATAACTCAATAGTCTGTCTCGAGTAGATTTAAAACACATTGAAATTATTGATGACAAAATCTCTTGGTTTATTGGATGATTATCCCATGATTGATCTACTTGCTAAGTGTGGGTCACTAAAGACAGCAAGAATCTGAACAGTCTGTCTGACAGACCAAAACAGCAAGGATAGGCGGACCAAAATTATTACAACTATAAGAGAAAGTGTAGAAAAGAACACATTCTCAGATCGAGGGAGTGAGAGAAGAGAGAATCATAAATATGGTATATTTTATATATATGACAGCTTTTGTGTACTAGCTTAACACAAGTTTCAGTTTTGAAAAGGTCATACAAGATGCCCATAGGGAAATTATTATAAAAGAGAATATAATAACAAATTGTAGAGAATTGAGTGTGCAAAGAAAGAACTTCAACATTCCACATAACCTATGCACAGCCTTGGGGCAAAGCAATGACCCCCAGATTCTTTGTATATTGTCTAAGTGGTATTTATTAGCAAGAATGGTGGGTCCAGACCCCTCGATCCTCATGGAATATCGAGTACATGGGCACAATTGAGATATGTCTGTTTTTATTGGCTTCATGAAAAAGGGTTAATAAACAGTTCTTATTTGTATCAAAGCGCTGATAGAATGTAATTTATTAGTGTGAAAGTAAGAGACCTCGATGAATATTGAGTACCCAAGGGTTGTGCGAAGTCTGGTGTGTAAATGTAATTTATTAGCACAAATGGACAAATTTCTTCTCCAATTACCCAAGAGATATCGAGTTCACTGGATCATTGTGAATGAAGGAAGTCTGGTGTGTGAATGTAATTTAATGGCGTGAATGGAGGGTTATCAGTTTCCAGAGGAATATCGAGTACTTAGGCCAGTGTGAATTAAATCGGGTATGGTATGGTACCATGCCATACCAATTTATCAATGACTTCTTCCCCAATTACCCCATGGAATATCCTGACACTCTTAGTGTGAATGCTAACTAGACTAAATCGTTTTGAAATGTACCTATTTTTATTATGTTTATAAAGTTTGTGTATTTATTACAAATAAATTATTATCCTTGACAGATGAGGCCTTGAAGTCGAGATAAATTGGTGAAATTAATTGAACATATAGAAGTGAATTTTATTTATCAGGTTATCAAGGAGAAGTTGAAACACTGGAAATCAAAACCTGGACTCATCTACTACAGTACTCAAATATAGGTCAAATCTAAAGAATTTTAATAAAACAACTTCCTTCTTTTTTTAAACACAAATAATACATAAATATTTGCTTTTTAAATGCATGGTAAGTTTTTAGAAAATAAAAGAGACTCGATTGATAAACCAGTTAAATAAAAATGAATTAAAATGTAATTTACTGATTAATTTGCCTACTAATTAATTGAGTGATTAATTTAAAATAATGAATTTAAAAACAAACAAATTCCAATAGTCAGAAGATTTATGTTCAAAATGTTTTGTCTCTATAAACAAATTTAATTTGACTGAATTGAAATATATTTTATATTATTTTAAGACATTAAAATTCGTTTTATGCCACATAATGGAATTTAATACTTGAAAAAATGAAAGAAATTAATAATGGTTCAGTAATTAACAGGTTAAATCCAGTTAAAGCTTTCCAAACCAAATAATAATTAGTATTGTCTTATAGTTAAAACTTTACCTGCTACTAAACTGAAGTAGGGCAAAATGGGGAACAGAATTAAATCTAAATATGCTAGCATCCTGCTCTGCATATCATTAAATTTTTCCGTTTAGTTGTAAGTTCAATTCAAATCAAATATACTATCCCGTTTTGGCATGAGCATTCAATTCAAACTGATACCTTAAGTACACACCGTTTACCGTTATCTTAAAACAATATAAGATAATGTAAAAATGGTATGTGTTTTTAATCTTAACTTGGGCAACACAGGATTATTTCCTAGCAGAACCTATTTTTATAAATATTTTTCATTTAAATTTCTTTTAAGTCGTGTGTTATTGGATTTTATTTCTTTTGAAGTTATATGAAATTTAACCAACCAATCCATCCCTAAGTTACGTGTTTTTTTCACATTTACTCCTATTTTTATGTCCAAGTTTAAAATAATGGTTAAATGCACCCACACACATGTACAAGATGATAAAAACAAAATTGATATTGATTTTGATTTGAATTGATATTCATTCATGAGCTGGAATCTCATTCATTCATTTAATTGAAATCACTGAATATAGAATTTCTCTTAATATAAGTTTGTAGGACTTGGACAAAGCCCAAGTAAACGGGCTAATGATTTTTCTTACCCTATGGCGATCAACCACATTCGGGTTATTTTCTGCCTTAACAGAGTGCAGATTATAGTAATCCATGAGTGAACCTTGCATGCCCTTTCTACAAACAAGTTAATATCGCTTTTTCATATCAGTTTAAGGATTCAAATAGCGCTTGTTACAAAAAATGGTATAACAAAAAAATGACAATTTAAAAAAATTTATTAATTTAACATAATATAAATATATATTAGGTTTCAATTATACAACATACACATATACTATTTTTATATCTTCTACATGTATATGCAGTATTGAAAATAACAAAATTTAAATTAGCACGATTTTCAATTTTGTTATTTTAAAAAATGAGACAATAATTTCTATCTGTTTATCTTTTTCGTCATTCACATACACAACAATTTATTTGTGACTGAAAAAAATTCTTTCTAACCCCCCTTCCAAATTATAAAATTAAAACATTAAAAATAAAACATCAATATATTATATACAATGTCTATAATTTATTTAAACATAAAAATATAGTGATTCTATTGGGCTTTTTTAAAAATATAAAATGGCAAGAATTATTTGTTACATCAAAATTTGATTTTTTTAACAATTTAAAAAAACTTTTAAATTGTTTCAACACTCTCGTGTTAACATTTGGCACAATTGTAAAAACACTAGTGTTAAAACAAATTGAGCAATACAAGTTTTTATGTATAATTGGCATATATATAATATTTTTAATTATATTATTTATATAAAAAGATTATATAATATAACAATGATTAAATTATAATAAAAATCACTGGTATATTTTATAGGAACAATAGTACTTATGTTTGATCATTGCACAAATATAAAATATTCTACTGAGAATAGATAATTTTCAGTAATTCTAAAATTGAAAATATTTTCTAATAATTATAAAGATTGTAATTATTACAGCTGGGAGGTCGAAAAAACCAAGTGAAGAAGTGCAGCTGTTTATCACAATAATAAAATCTATTAAAGCGATCAGTTATGGAGACTTGGGTTTAGGCCCAGGGCGAAGTGTGTTGTTCCTTGCTTTAATTCTTGCCTGTAGAGTCAGCAAAAGACCTGCGAGGACGTCATGGTTGTGGAGTTTCTTTCCAAAAAGAAGACGCTTTACCGAGTCGTCGTAAGTGAGCAGCGCAACCATATTCTGAAGGAGAAAACCTTGGCAGTATTCCATTAGCTGGCATGCATTGTACACCTTTAGACAAACAAAAAATATAGTATTTCTTCTGTATGCTGTCATAAACTGTTGTATACCTTTGCATGTATATACATGGAAACTATATTGTCTAGATCGACCATCGTTGAACACTGAGCTTCACAAAATCTAAGTAAGCCATCAAGCTGGAAGAAGTTAGCGGCTGCCATCAACTCCAAAACGTCATTCTGATCTACTTCAAGCCCTTCGCAGCCACCATTGTACAAAAATTGCATTACTAACTGCAATTGAAAAATAAAATTGTTTAAAGTTACTGCAAATATAATCATCTGCAAAAAGATTTAGTTTTTCACTAGTAGAGATTTACAATTTTATAGGTTTTTTTTTCATCTTATATAAACAACAAATTAACAGTCATGAAGAAAAATTTGATTAGGGCAGCCATTGAGCCTCAGGCATTGAATCTTGCCAAAGATATATTCTTCTTGGCAGAGAAGCGAGTTTGCAATCCTGAAATAGTGGAATTCATCATAAACACAATGCAACGTTTAAAGACACTTCTTCTGGAGGATGAATCCTCTGGGAAATTTTTCACCACCCTGTTAATATCTATAAGAAAACTACTTATAAATCTACCGCTCTGTGAGGTACACTTTTCTTATTTATTTTTCCAGTTTCAAACAAAACATTGCAACATATTTATGCGTTTGTGTTATCAAACCCCTGTGATATTCATCCAAGTTTTTAAATTTAAAGCAATCAACAAATTAAGTTGAGAAATTTTCAAAGTTCTTTGATCAAGTGTAACCATTTACATGTTGTAAAATATTATTTGCGAGATGATGAACTTGAAGTTGGAATGCCTCCGATTATCCTACCTATTCTTACTGGGATTTCTTCCTGTGGTCTATGGGGTGATGAACCTATAATTTGATCGTTACTTATGAACTTGGTCTGCCTATTCTTGCCGGGTTGATCTGAAAGAAGTGTTTTGGCATTTCGTCTTCTTCAGTGTGCTTGAATGATTCTTTATTAAAAAGGACAAATTTAAGGCATTATCAAACAAAGATAACACCAACACGTGCACCACATTTAATATAAAAGAGTCTTGACTTCACGGAATCACACAGAAGACAGCGAATTGCAACTTACAGATCAACCCAGCGAAGACAACAGGCCAAAATGATCGATAACGATCAAATTACATATTCTTACTGGGTTGGGCATACAAAGGAGTTCATATTTTGTCATCTTCAGAGGTGTAAAAAAAAAACCGGCCATAAAAGAGAACTTACAAGAACAGACAAAACAAGATGATCGGAGATGATCAAGCTCAAGTTTAAATATTAATAAAAGGCCGACTTAACTGTAAACAACAAATTAAGTAACAGTTAATTGTTCAAGTAATTCAATAACAGTTTGATATTGTTTTTATGATATAAAATTTATCTAGGTAGAATGGAGTAGAAGATTTAGCATTGAAGCACATTTAACACAACACTGCCATGAGATCCTCGATGGAATCGCTAAAGTAAGGATTATCGAACAGAAGTTAAAGAAGGATTTAATAATGAAGGGGAAAAAGAAGGATTATCCTCCGTTAGGCGAGCGAAGCTATGTTCAAATTGGTATCGACAAAACAAACAAAATAAGGTAAATATTTAATTAAATGCATTTATCGTTTATTCCTGACAGTACGTGATTTAACGTAGGTGCATTTTGACCGAGCCTTGTGAGAATGTTATCCTTCTAATAAAACAGGCCAAAGACTTTAAAAAATGCCTTTTGGAAATAGTCGTTGATCTCGAAAGCAATGAAAAGATACCCGAGGAGATGAAAGGCGTGATAAGAACGATATTAAGGAAATTCCTTTTTTCTCTGGCTATTGATGCAAACACAACGCTTAAACTTAAAAAAGCAATATACGAAGTACAGTAAGTACACTCGTGTTGTTTTTTAAATGTTCTTAGTGCGTTTTAAATCATTTTTCTTCCAGGTATCTAGTGAAGTCTTTTAAAAGAGTCGATTTTGATTTTAAATTCAAAGTAAGGAAAATACAATTACAGACCGACACATTATTAAGGGACAGTAATTACGCTTTAGAATTTGGGAGGGATGCGTTAAAACGAATCGATTTCAAGGGAGAAATGCTGGACCAGAAATTGAGGTACAGCAAACTACTGATGTGGCCGTATGTGGGAACTGTCTTTCCACAGGAGAACCATCCTGCGTTTAAATGTACGACGTTTGCAGAGGTTGATAATAGTGAAATAGCTTCAATAAACGAATACTGACATTTTGTGTTTTAAAACTATTTTTTACGAGTTTTGTGATTGTATTTGATGATTTAAATGATTCATCAGATTTTTAATTATTCATTTTATTTTTTTTAATTTCAGTCTTTTTTTGACAAACGTATTCTACAAATGGGCATTTCATGTTTAAATATTAGAATGGTCTGTTGTAAAAATTATTCAGATATCGTGAGATGCGGTCTGGTGTGACGTAGGTTTCAGAAAAATGTTGTAAAAATGTTTATACATTTATATGTATATAAATAATTAATAGGTCTTTACATTGAATTTGGAATTGTGGAGTCAGAAAAATCCAAAAGTACAGACAAAAAACTGACATACAACCTGTACTAACCACATTATCCAAACCATATTAAATTAAAGAGAAGGAGGAATAAATATAACAGGAGCAGGCATCGATAAAAGATTATTACAATCAACAACTTGGGAATGATGTACCATTATTTAGAAACTAATGTATTCACCTGGAAAATATGATATCGGATGTCATTAATTTGAACTATTGGAGGATTTCCCTCGCATAGTTTTGAGCTGAGCATCCCTCTGAACCTTGGCGATGATGTTACAAGAACGATCTTGTGCGCGTAAAACACTCTTCCTTCCACCCTAAACTGCACATCTGAGAGCTCGGGGTTGTTCACGAACTTTGGATCTATTCTTGCGCCACCGTTTAGTGTCGAGTCCCTGATCGGCCTTATTGGCTCCCATCCATAGCAAGTTGAAAAGATATCGGCTAAAAGTAACGTTGTCCCTTCGTTCTGAAATTCAAATTGTTAGTTTTGTTTAAGGCAAATAGCAATTTACATGAGTCCCACCTTGCTGTATCGAAAAATGTTGAAGAGAAGTGGAAGGCATTCGTCTACAAACTGTGCTGAGCAATCATCAGGCCAGACATGCAAAAAATCCTGCAGAAGTTGATCAATCATGCTCTCGATATGGCCGTGTGCGGTTGCTAAAGTTGACATCCAGCAGTGTAAACTCCAGCACACACCCAAATTTCTCAAGTCAAGAGTTATTTCTAAATTTTGAGTTTTTTAAATTAATATACAAAATAAATAAGTGATTAAGTTGTAAATTAATACCAAGGTGGTTGTTTTCAGTGCTGTGATACATGGCCTCTTGTAAGCATTTTATTTGTGCTTTACTTAGTTTAAGTAACTGGGCTGAGTTGCCTTCACCAACCTATGAAATTAAAAATATTATAACATATAACAAATATATACAAATATGCCAAATTAGAAAACTAAGTTTGGTTAAGCGTTCACCTGTCTTGAACGGCGCTCAGCAGTGAGTTGATTCGTCCCTTCTGCTAGTATTTCCTCCAAAGACAAAACCTCTTTTGTATTTTGGCTCAATGGATGCGACAGCAATTTATGCAGTACTGCCCTTTGTCCATGAGCCGCTGCGACCGCAAAAGCACTGTAGCACCCCCTTTGAGCCGCTCCTGAGTATGATCCTGAATCTTTGTAGACAGTAGAAAGGAATGGGTGTGCACCGTGAGATAGAAGTAAAGACACCATTTCCAAGTTGCCTGATGCTGACGCAACCTGTCCAAAGAATTCAGAAATGGTCAGGTATAATCTACGTGATGCTACTGAACATAATTACTTGAAGAGGGGTCATCGTAGATTTTTCTTCGCTCAACCTCGCTCCTCCTTCCACATGAGCCCCTCTCTCGAGTAAGAGTTTTGCCACTGGAATATTTCCTTGCAAAGCAGCATAGGTCAAAGCAGTCCAATGCTGGCTTTCTGCCTGTACATTTGGACAACCCTTTAAAAAAAAATTTAAAAAATAATCAGAAGTTAATAACACTTTTTTATATTATTTTTTGTATATTCACTAGTTTTCGTGGTCTGCTTGACCAATTAATATCTTTCAATTAATTAAGGTTTTTAGTTGAGATAAAAAAGTCAGTGTCACGAGCGGGATTCAAACCAAAGACCTTCGGCTAGATACGCCGCTACTCTATGGTAGTCACCTTTGATCCACTCGGGCAATAACTTCCCATCTCAACCCCACCTTTTGAATTTTCCCTTCTTTTTGCCATTTTTCAATTAATTAATTAATTGAAAGATATGAACTGGTCAAGTGGACCACGAAAACTAGTGAATTTAATAAGTTAAAATGAAGTATATCTTCACTAAAGCTCTCTGTGGCCATTTCATTTGTCGCCGAGAATCAAATAGATTACACGACCTTTGAAAAATGGTAAAAAGGAGGGAAAATTCAAAAAGGTGTGGTTGAGATGGTAAGTTAGTGTCCGAGCAGATCAAAGTCACGATAGCTCAAGTGGGAGAGTAGCAGCGTATTTAGCCGAAGGTCGTGAGTTCGAATCCTGCTCGTGACACCGACTTTTTTATCTCAACTAAAAACCTTAATTAATTGAAAATTTTTTTGTATATTATTCAGATATCTTATTTACCTGTGTTCCCTGCGGAGGAGTTTCTAAATCAGGATCGCATCCAAATTCTAATAAAATCCTAACTGCGTTTTCATCATTATTGACACAAGCAAGCATCAGAGGTGTCAAGCCATTGTCACCCACTGTATTTAACTACAAATTTTAAATAAATAAGTACTAAAAATATCAAAAACAAAAAAAATGTTGTACCTTTGTACTGGGTAGAAGTTGTAACGCATGCGGCACCATCTCTCTGATTCCAGAGCCTAACATTCTAAAAGCTAAGCCTACTTTTAGCTTTTTGACAGCTTCAACTTCTTCACCACATCTCCTTGATATACTTTCATCACATCTATATTAAAGGTGTTGTGTTAGTTGTTAGTTTCAATAAAAATAAATAAATAAAAATAAAAAGTCTTTTTGTACCCGGGCTGGCGAACAGGAGTGTCGACACCTGGCAAAAGAAGTCGACCCGCTTGCATTATATCATCCTGATCCACGACTTGAGAGTGTCTGTACTGTGCATGAGCAGAGGCAGTCCTTACCCATTCTAAAAGAGGAGGGAGTACAACATACGCCCTTTCATAAACTAATTCTTGCACAGATCCACAGTGTTCGAGCTGAAAAACACAATTTGAAATGTTGCTGCAGTGTTTGAGCTTATTAGACTTACCTGTGAGCATCTCATGAAGTAAAACAGGGCTTGAATGGCCTGCGGTGAAAATTGTGGTCTTGAGTTGAGCACGGATGACGAAGTACGAAGAAGATCTGCTAACTCCTGGACAGACGCTACGCATGTAGTCAGAAGACTGTGCTCCCTCTTACTTGAAACTGAGCTGCATGTTGTATCAGTCGCGACTGAACTAACACTTGCCCATCTAGGCAATGCAAGTGTTCCTGAATAATTAAGATAAGTTAACAAAATATAAAGGTACATTTGACATCAATAATTGTACCTGATGCTGTTCTCCCTGTGTTGAGGTGGGCATAAGGTTGTAACAATCCCCACAGGTCACTATTGTTTGCTATAGCATGCTCAAACATAGATGCCGTGAGAACCGTTTCTGGTTTCGATGGCAAACATTGGAGGATTATCTCTTCCAATAAATTCTCAAGTCCTGCTGCTAAATAAATTGCTGCATACCTGTAAATATATATATTTTTTTAAATGTCTTATATGGGAGTCGGATGAATTTTTAGTTTTAAACTTACTCATGTACAAATTTCCCTAAGCGGACATCAACCATCCAACGGTGAAACCGTCCGACTGAAAGATTGAGACCAGCTCTTTGTGATTTGCTCTGTTTCATTTGGTCACCTGAAACTGCAAACATTGCTCCTGATCTCAGGCAAGCCTAAAAGTTATTTAATCAATTAAAAATAATTAAAACAAACTTTTATCTTTATAAAATTACCTTTATGCATGAATCAGCTAGTACAGGACTCAAAATAATCCTTAAAGATGATGCTATCTGCAAATGGATTTGTTTTAAAAATACTGTTGACATTTTTTTTTTAATAATGAACATACTTCATGTTTACCACACATGGCTAAAGGTTTTGAGAGCCTTTGTGCTTCCCTTCCTATCCTGACTAACGCTCTCTGAAGGAGGTATGATAACCTGGGAACCGTTTCCATTGCTACCCATTCCATTGAACATCTCACACGCCCGCTCTGCAGTACTTTAAGTACGTCGTGATTTGACCAGGGGAGTTGTTGCAGCTCAACCAATCTAAAAGATAAGAGTTTCTTAACATTTCATGGCAAATAAAACCAGGCATTACCTGTTGTGGCTGTCGACCCAGACAAATTCGTCTGCAGATGTCACATTCGTGTTTATTGTTTCGAGAGAAGAATGCCTTATAAGTCTTCTCACTGCTGGCTCGCTTCCTTCACTCCCACTCAGACTAGAATATGTAGAAGTGGAATTTGAAGTGTGGGATCTCATCGTCAACTGCTGGATGGCTAGTTTTATATCTTCAATGCCAGATCCACATGGAACCAACTGGAAATTACAATATTAAATTTATTTATTTTTTCCATGAGAAAGTAAGTAAGTTTTGTAATAACCTTTGCTGGGGTTGCTCGATGTCTACTTCTACTTTGTACACTTTTCCTATTCGACCTACTCTGCCCTGCCATTATTCCCGCCGAGAGTCTTCCATCTTCTGGCACTGAGTTTAGAGGTGGTCGGTAGTGATGGTGCCTATCTGCAGTGGGAGATGAGCTCAAGTGTCCATCGGACATGGAGGCGTGCCCAGAAGTCCTGTTGTCGTCGGATGAACTTCCGTTTGAATCAGCTCTCCTCTGAAAATGATACAAATTATTGAACTCTTAAAAAAAATTCATATCGCTAAATTGTATGATTTACCTGAAGGAGTCTGAGCTCGTTGACATGATGATGAGGGAGTGTCGATAAGTTGTTTTTGTTTGATAATTGTCTTGGAGTTGTTACAGGCCTGGACGGCAGGGTCTCCGCATCTTCAGGCCTGCTCTCCTTGTTCACATTGCTACTGCTATTGCTGGTAACCACCTGGCTCGTGCTATTTAACTAAAATATGACAAAAGGAAAGTATATTGTTTAATCTGAATGACAAACAAAAAATATAAAACAGTTAATATACTCGAATGGGAGTCGCTGGTTGTGAAGGTGCAGAATCTGAATTAGACGATGGCGATGACGTTTTGTTGCTGGAAGAGTTGTACGGAACCAGCTCCCTGCTCCCGCTGCCTGCACCGCTTGGTCTAAAACATTTATTATTTGCTTTATTTATTTAAAACTCACAAACTAAATTTAACATTATTTTCTGAAAGAAAAAAAGGATTTAACAAATTTATGGATTAAGATTAAATAAATATATTTTTGTTGCAAATGATTTGTTGAAAATTAAAATAAATAATTTCAATTTAATACCATTGCTAAATATTTTTATTGTATAATTAATTTTAAATAATATTTTTACCACGAAATTTGAAGCAATTTTATTAGCTGTTAGTCCCTAAGTAATCTCATTTGAAATTTTGAAATTTTCTGATATTAATTTCGGTGCCTGCCAATCATGTGATCAATATGTAAATTTACCGTCGAATTTGCATTTTAATTATCCCTAGGAAATGGCGAGGGAGTCTTGGGAGTAAAAAGTGAACCATTATGCTAAAAAGATCACATATCTCCAATGGATCCAGGAAACAAACAAAAAAGGGAAATAGCGTGGTATTATCTAAGTTTAAAATCATTTTTTCATAAATGTTCACTTATCGTAATAAGTTATTGGGTTAGAAAAAAAAATCACCCAGCAAATATTTTATTTAAATTTTTAGTTTAATTTATTTAAGATAATCTCAATACTTAAAAATAACAAATAAGTAATTTAATATTTAAATTAATTTTTATTAATCACTAATGTAAAAAAAATAAAATAAAAAAATAAAAATGTTTCTCTATAACTGAACATGTGAAGGAAATTTACCTTTAATACGATTTTTTTTTTTTTACCTTTTAGCAAATTCACCATATTTATTTATGTCCAAAACAAAAATGACCACAATTATGTCAAATTGTACTACTTTTTTTAAATTTGTACTCCTGTTTCTTCTTTCTTTATTGTTTATTTTATTATTATTATGTTTAATATGATTCATGATAACTTGTGTAGCTTATTAATGGCAGTAGTAGTAGTAAATAATTATTAAGATTTTATTTTAAAAATGTTATGTATCATTTGATTTTTAAAATGAAAATAAGTGACTGTTGCAATCAGTATTATAAAAATTGATTAAATAATAAAGAAAATTGAAAAAAAATAATAATAATAAAAAGTTAATTAAATCCTAATTATTACAGTCTAGTAAAAATAAATTGTTTTGTTTATAAATCACTTTTAACGCATTACTAATAACATTTTATTATTTGTAATTTGTTTTTATACTTTTATTTTAGTAAATTGTAATAATCAAAAATCTGATTATTTATGATTAAATTGTAAAATATTTAAAGAAACGGTTGAAATTCCTTTTCTTTATTTATTTATTCTCCTCCTCAGAAGTTTTATTATTGACTTATTGACAGTAGTAATATTTGAACAACCCCAGATTTCCAAGATTTCCTTACAAAAAACATATTTTTAATTTTTGATAAAAATGTTAATACTCAGTTTTTAAATATGTCATTGATATGCAAACCACTAAATTAAACAAAATAAAACAATGCTACTTACTTAAATTGAATTTATAATTAAACAAGTAAAAAAAAATTATATATCAACTTTCTCCTCTAAGAAATTATGTTTTGAAAAATTTAAATAACAGAAAAAATACAATGAATCGTTAATAGTACTTTGAACTGTTAATCATTTAGCATTGCAAATGTTAAATTTTTGCAGAGAAAAGAATATACTGTGTAATTGTGATTGTGTTTCTTAATATTTTCTGTATTATTTTAATCATTATAAAAGAGACCTTTCATCTTCGTAAGGGCCTGGTACAAGAACAATACTTTTATAAGCGCCATCCTTTTCACAAAGTATGAAGTTACTGTCCGACTCCTGGTGTATTTTGATCTTGGAAGGTAGCGGAGATTGGCCCAGCTCCCTGCAGAGCCGGCAGTTGCAGTTTTCAGGACAGCAAAGCATCAGCCCGATAGCATTTTCCTTCTTCCACGAGGCTGGATACACACATTTAATCCCACAACAGACTTCTCGTTCTTCAGAGGCACGTTTGATACTGGGCGAATGAAGGGAGCAGGCCAACCCCCCCTTCGATAGCCGAATCCGAGCTATCAGTTCCCACCTTGTGGGAATCATTTAAGATGAAAGTCTGGGCATCTCTATGAGAACCACACGTTCAAAAGACAATAACAACAACTTTCATACAACCGATGTTTCCTTTGCTGGCTTCTCCGGTTATAATCAGCCACTTTCATTTTCCACCCTTATACAATACAATCAACTCTTACACAATGGACATCACTCACAATTAATTTGAGTACTTCTTATTCAATCTGGCTATTGTATAATAAGTATTTTAATAATTTTAATAAAAAAACAAAAAAATGTATTATATTTTTCTGCTTCAATAATTCGCATGCTATTTAAACAATTAATTAGCTAATAACTTTTTCCATTGTAAGCAATTTTATTTATTATATATAATGGCGATTATATAAAAAAATAAAATTAAAAAATAAACAGAACTTAGTTTATTTTCAAACTTAAAAATATTTATTTATTTTTGTCAATGCTTAACTTTTCTCTTGTTTTAATATATAACATTTCAATAAAATACAAACAGTCATAATCCGAAGATTTACAATAAATAAAGCTATAAAATTTGCACTATGACCATTCATTGATTTAAATATTAAATTTAAAGGAAAAACATAAAGGATACTTATTTACAAAACAATTCTAGCTCCTTTTAAATCTTCTCAGGTCTAATGTTGATTTTTTATTTGAGTTAACTATTGATTAAAAACCATTGATTATTATAATATGAATTAAGTTAATTGACTTTATAATTGAAATAGTTTGAAAATTTCGGTTAGTCTCCCCCCCACAAGTGAAACTTTGTTTCCTTCACACTAATAATTAATTTCCACAATAGGATGCATTTCCCACCATTTATTGGTAGACAATTAAGTACTCTCACTTTCTTAAGTTAATTTAGACATGATATCTTAGGAAGCCTAGTTTATCTCCAGGGGGGATCAAGGAGGGAAAAAAAGTCAATTTGAAGAAAGGAGAGGAAAAATGAAAGTGTGCTTTCTTCACAGGATGTTAATTCAAGACAATGGAGGCGTTAATTTGGGTTCCCACAACAAAGCGGCTGATCACCCCAGGCGCGAATCGCAGAAAATTCACTTTCATTCTCATGCGAACAATAGGGACATTTTGCCTGATTAAATAAACACGGTTGAAATATTATTTCCAATCATGGAATAATATTAATAACTGTTTCCACCCATTATTCTACAATATATAAATATATATATTNAATTATATATATATATATATATATATATATATATATATATATACATATATTACAATCGCTTTACCTTCGAGGTTTCGGTCTAAGGATCTCATGGCCCGCTTCAGTTGACGTAGGACATCTGTAGTGGTCAGCTCCCCTGAATTCAGGCATTGGAGGACTCGTAGCCATGATCTAGAAAAAAAGTTCAATAAGCAAAATAAATATATAAAAATCATGGCATTAATATAATATAAAAACTCGCCTCTTAAAAAGCTGCATGAGTAAAATCGCCGTTTAGCGGCGAAAAATTCAGCACTCACATTTTCCTTCCTGCAAAAAAAAAATAATATTATTATTTTCTTCTTACATCTTGTTGTTACAACAATTATAAAATATTAGACGGAAATTATCACACACTGATTACACAATAAAGCAATAAAATAAAGTTTAAATGTATTATTTCAAAAAATATTAATGAACATTGTCCTTGAAATTCCAACAGTAAAATAAAAGTTCTTTTTGAATGGTGAATAGGAAGAAATATTTGCAAACATAATGTTTCAGATCAATTTTTTTATTATTAAAAATTTTTACTATTCCTATTGTATAGAACACTGTATTTAAAGAGAAAACTTTATGATGTGAGAAAAAGAAAGTATAACAATACCAGATTAAAGAGAATATAACAATATAAAGAGAGAGAGAGAGAGAGAGAGAGAGAGAGAGAGAGAGAGAGAGAAAGAGAGAGAGGAGAGAGAGAGAAAAAGGAAATTTGATTTATCATTTTATCACAAAATTAGGTCAAAAGACCTTTCTTACATTTAACGAAATCTATTGTAATTATCTCATGTTATGGTGTCCATTGTCTTCACAAATAATTTGTAAAGATCAAAAGTAAAATTCTTTACATAAGTATGTCTTCATAATTATCTATTAATTTAAATTAAATTAGATACTACAAACATAAAATTCTTTACATATTTAAACAGAGAACCATGAACTAATTACAATTGCAAGAAATCACGAAAACTTAAATACATACTATAAAGAGGAAACAATAAAAATAAAATAAAATAAATAAAATTGAAATTGCAAGTATCCAAAATAACTCTTACAGCAAAAATAGTGATAATATTAATTTTTATTAACTTTTTATACATCACAAAGCAAGATAATTGTTTCTGCTTCAAGCTTGTGAAATGTAATATGTTTTAAACTGTGCAATATGTCTTATTAATTATATTAGGAGTACGTAAGTGAGAGATATTCTTTTAGGGCTTTTTTTGTACGAATATTGGGATTTACAGAGTTGGGAAGTTCGTTACAAAACTGAATACTTTTTGCAATAAATGAATTTTTATATGATTGTGTTCTAAGTAATGGATTTCTGTAAATCATATTTAAACTGTAGCTTTAAAATTTATTGGCTGTATCATTTCTACCAACTAGGATGGTTTACTCACCAGCCTCATATTGTTTTAAATATGAGCTGGTGAATAAATGTGTTAATAAAAATGTGTTATTATTTCATATTTCATTAATTTTTCTATTTTCAAAAGGTCTAGAGTTTTATATGAAAGGAAATAGTGAGCAAGTGAGAGAGAATGAAAGAGAGTGTGTAAGAGAGAGAGAGAGAGAGAGAGAGAGAGAAAGAAAGAGAGANAGAGAGAGAGAGAGAGAGAGAGAGAGAGAGAGAGAGAGAAAGAAAGAGAGTGAGAGAGAGGGAGGAAGAGAGAGAGAAAGAAAGAAAGAAAGAGAACAGGAAAGGGTGTAAGAGAGAGAGAGAGAGAGAGAAAAAAAAAGAGAGGGTGAGTGGTGAGTGAGAGAGAGAAAAAAAAGAGAGGGTGAGTGGTGAGTGAGAGAGAGAAAAAAAGAGAGGGTGAGTGGTGAGTGAGAGAGAGAAAAAAAGAGAGGGGGAGTGGTGAGTGAGAGAGAGAAAAAAGAGAGGGGGAGTGGTGAGTGAGAGAGAGAAAAAAAAAGAGGGTGAGTGGTGAGTTAGAGAGAGAGAGAAAAAGAGAGGGGGAGTGGTGAGTGAGAGAAAAAAAAGAGAGGGGGAGTGGTGAGTGAGAGAGAGAAAAAAAAGAGAGGGTGAGTGGTGAGTGAGAGAGAGAAAAAAAAGAGAGGGTGAGTGGTGAGTGAGAGAGAGAGATGGAGGGGTGAAGAGAGAAAGAGGAAGTGATAGAAAGTGAGAAAGAAGGAGAAAAAGATTGATTTACCAATCGATCAATCTTTTCAAGGACCTGCCTTCCAGTTAACCTGCGCATATACATTTTCCATATACATATATTTTTGTTTAGAATCTGGTCTTTACAAATATACTTCTTAGTAGAAAAAAAGTTTATAAACTCTTGACTATTTATATTTATAAGTTATTTATGTCTAAAATAGCAATGAATCAGGAGAGTGTTATAATGAGAGGGTGAGGAGAGTGAGTGAGAAAAAAGAGAGGGTGAGAGAGAGAGAGAGAGTGAGAGAGAGAAGGAGGGAAAGAGAGAGATTTCAATATAATCAAAATTAATGCTAATTATAATAGATAATCGAGGAAACAATGAGCGTACTTTTTCTTTGTATCATTATGTATTAATCTATAAAATAAGTTATAAATATGTTTAATATTGGTTATTATAATTTAGAGTTATGTAAATACCTATATATTTTCTGCTTAATACTTTCAGCAATAATACATCTTTCTTCAAAGAATTATTTTCATGCTGCTTTATTTTAAATGTACAAATCTTTTCTTTTTTTATGCCAGCCAATATCAGAGATTTTCAAGTTTTGGATTAGATCGCCAAGAAGATTAAGCAAAGGATTAAGTTTAGCATGGAAAGCACGAATACTACGAGCAGATTATTATTATTTTTATTTTATTTTTAAGTTGGGCGGGGGATTTTTAATTTTTCGCTTTCAACTCTGGTCCTGGTTTCGACACAATTGGAACAGTGCCACTGGCCGAGGGACATTTAACAAGCCGACGATGAAAACAACAATCCTTGGAATGTCAAAGCACAAAGGCGAATTAAGTGTGTGATAAAATTTCCAGGGAGTATGCTAATCGGGCTAACTGTATTGTGGACGACGCTCGGATTTCTTCCCCCGTCCGTGTATAGGATCTCAAGGAAGTTTTCGACGTGGAACAATCGCCTTTTCGGTTTTCGAGAATGATGAACCAACCGACTCAGTTATGTTAATGAGTTAATTACTGTTTTGGACTGGGAACCAGTTCCTTCCTCGCCTCGCGTCGGCTACACCCTGTATACTCGGGGCTCCTTGTCCACCACGTGTCCTTGAAATTCCTATTTTAAAAGGAACTAGCACTAATAAACTCTCTAATGATATAATTACAGACAGTCAATCGACCAAACGATAAATTATATTGTCGGACTTCTGGTCTAAAACGTGCTTGCTATGACCTGTGATCTTGACTGTAGATGTAAAATATGACTGGGAATTCCTAATTAACCCTGAAACTCAAAAATGCTTGGGCGTTGTTCAAAACTATTTACTTTTATATTGCAAACCTCATAGTTTTCATTGATTTTGCATAAACTGTTTAAAGGATCCTGTGCGATCGACCAACGTTCTATACCGATGTTTCCGTTGAATTTGGGTTGTGGTCAAAAGGACAAATACTAGTATTGTATCAACACTAGTATTTGTCCTTTTGACCACAGCCCAAATTCAACGGAAACATCGGTAAACTGTTTAAAGTTACAACCCTGCGCGACCTTTTTACAAAAATTAGTACGAATACTAAAAATAACATTGAAATCATTGACTAAAACGATATTTAGAAAGCTCAAAGTTGGAAGAAACATTTGAGCTTTTGCCTAACTCTATGATTTATTGTTAGTAATCTTAAATTTTTCGTACAAAGTTCAAACCTGGCGTTTTAGGTTCTCGTCCAGTTACCTTTTATCAATCATTTATTTTTAGTTGTATTTCAACCACACATAACGTTAAAATAATAACTATAAACATATTTCAAAGTTGGAAGGAACAAAGCTTTTAAGCTTTTTAAGCCTCTTAAGTTCTTTTGATTTTAACATGCAAGGCTTAACTGTGGCTTTTCGTTTTATGTTCCCGTCCAATTGGTTTTTATAAAACATTTATTATTAGTTGTACTTCAACCACTTTTAAAGTTAAAATAATAACTATAACCATATTTCAAAGTTAGAAGGAACGAAGCGCTTGTGCTTTCTAAGCCTCCTGAGTAATCGAAGTTATCACACAAAGTTTAAACCTGACTTCTTGTTTTATGTTCTCAATTAATTAATTTTTATAAACAGTTTCAGAATTCCTATCTTTACGACAATCCTTGTGCATTCTTTATATAAAAATTAATCTTTTCAAAACAAATTCAAAGTTAGAAGAAACGTAGCATTTTTTAGCCCAAGACTCTAACTTTGTTTTTTGTTTTTTTTTAAGCAATGTGCAAACCCCTTTAGTTGTCCACAATATTCCCAGCATTAATCTCCCAGGTACAAAAAGATTTGAAGTTTTGCCTTATAAGAATAAATTAAAGGATAATTACTTTTTCCGTTTCCCATCACGTCCATTTTTCGCAGTTTACTCCATGCCCCGGCATTATCTCCAAGTCTTCAAAGACTTCAAAATTAATCTCATTTAAATCCCATTTATAACTAAACAGTCGAACATTAGAAAAGTTGTACATTCGAGAAGTTTAATCGATCGTACTGGGATGAGAGATAAGATCGAACTCCTGTACGTAGACAAGGCCTAGGAATGAATCTGGGTATGATTTAAATAATGCCCTCCCTATGGATCATCAATCTTGGCTTTCTCTCTTTGCATTAGCATTGAATTCTTTTAAAACGGCCTGGAATTAAGTACCGAGATGAAATATACACAGGGCCACAGATGGGACTGGAACGGAAGGTCGAGAAGAAAGATCCATGTCCTAGATAGTCAATTAACTAAAGAATTCAAGAAGGTCTTAAGCTTAAGACCGCCTGGAATTCTGTCCGGCCTCACACTGGAATAAATAATAGACATTGAGACGATAACAAAATTAATCTGTTACGTCCTTAATCCGGGCTATTGAAAGTTCGAATTAGTTAACATCGTACGGACAACTTGATTCGAAACTGAAACTGACAATATTTTTGACAACAGATATGTGTCTTGGAAAATGAAAAGGAAAGAAAAGGAATGGAAGCAATTCCAAAGCACAGGTCACATCCATTCTTCTGGATTCTCCTGGGGAACTCTGAGTTCAAATCCCCGTATAGCCCGTGGAATTTTAATTGGTAATAATATGTAGAAGATATTGTAAACTCGTTTGACCCCTCGTCGAACCCAATGAGTAGTTATATATCGTCCTAGCTCTATCTACCTCTACCTAAAAACACTCTAACTATCCATCTATCTGTTCTCTATTTATTTACCTATATCTATTTTTGACAAGATTACCTCTACGTATCCTCTATCTTTTTCACAATTTATCGATCTTTATGTGTCTACATGTCTATCTAGGAGATCTGCCTATTTTGAATTATCTAAATTTAGTCGTCTAAATATCCATACATCTCTCTAGCCTTTTATACTTTATTTCTCTATATGATACTTCTAATATTTTATTATTAGGAACAGATTAACAGACTATTTATTAATCACTATTAACCACCCCTCTCCCTAACGATCTCCCTCGCTCTCCCTATCTCTCTCTCTCTCACTCTCTGAAACTCAATCGTAATCTTACTCACTCGCTCGCTCTTTCTCTATTTCTCTCTTTCTTTCCTCTTTCTCTTTCTTCTGTCTCTTTCAATCTCTCTCTCTCTCACTCTTACTCACTCACTGAGAGAGTTAGTGAGTGAGACAGATAGATAGAGAGTGAGTCAGATTAAGTGAGAGGGTAGGAAGGAGAGAAAGAGAGAGGGGAGAGAGAGAGAGAGAGAGGATGTTGAGAAAGAGGGGGAAAAGAGAGAGTGTGATAGGAAGTAAGAAAGAAGGAGGGAAAGATTGATCGATTGACCGTTTTAAGGGCTGTCTTCCACTTAACGTGTACATGCACATGCTACATTTGACATATACATATATTTTTGTTTAGGATCCTTGGACTTTACAAACGTACATTATAAAAAGAGGAAAAAAGTTTATAAACTTTTACTAAACATTTGACAATAATAAGTTGATGTCAATATTTATGTAAAAAATAGACACACAAACAACACTGCTCTCTCTATTTCACATCCTCTATCTCTCTCACTCTTCCTGTCCCTCTTGCTCTCTCTCTCTCTCTCTCTCTCTCTCTCTCTCTCTCTCTCTCTCTCTCTCTCTCTCTTTCCTTCTCAATCTCACTCTACCTCACTCACTCGCTTCTTCTGAATTTCTCTCTTTTTACTCTACTCTCCCTCTTTCTCTTTCTCTCTCTATCTATTTATCTGTCTCTCATTTACTTACTTATCTATTTAACTCTAGCTATCTATCTGTTTATTCTCTAGTCCAATTAAAACTGGAAACCGCTCAATCTCATTAAACCTAATTAGTGTGGTGAGACAGGCAAGAGTTCTTTTCTTTTTTCCACTCCTTATCATTTGCGTTAAAGGCGTTGTAAGAACTAGGATGCAAAGGAAAGGAACAAGAATTCTTAAAAGCAGACCGATATAAAATCATAAAAGAAACTGGATTTGTATGTTTCATAAAAAAAAACAAGATCTCATAATATGTGATTAATATTTGTTCCTAGAGTTAAAATGCAAATAGGGTCGTTATATTTATCTTTTGTAAAACTCCTTCATTTCATACAAGAAGCTTATATTACTAACATAAAATGTAAAAATTTAAACGTAGTAACGCAAATTTATATGATATAAATACGTGTTAGGATATTCAAAATAATATCAATATTTTTTTCAACAGTCAGCTGTTTGTTTATTTGAATTAAAATCAGAAGGGCTTCCGTTCTGCAGATCCCAGAATTTAAAAGGGTGGTAAAGTGTCCGATGGGGGTGACATATCCTTTGGAAGTTCGGTACTGCGACAACTGCTCGCTGCCGACCGAGTATTGCGAGTACTTTCCAGGACGGATTATGTGCAATTCTTGGCTGTCCAACGGGAAAAGCTTAGGGAAGCAGGAAGATGACAACTCGAGGAAAAAGGGAGTGAGGCGGAACTCGCAAAAACCGGTAATTTATTAGTTACCGTCTCACTTACACGTTTCTTTTGAGAAACAAGTTTAGGAATTGAGTATACTTTTGGCAAAACCCTGTTCGAAGTTGCTAGTTGAACGTTTAGAACAAATCCTGTTGGCAACGTTAGCCTTAAATTAAACATAGGTGGTTTTAGAATCTTAGTATCAAATGTTTAAATCGCTCGAATTAAGATGTTACGACTATAAACAGCCCAAGAAAACACAAACAAAAGGGCAGAAAGCACAGATTCCCACTAAAGAGCCGATATGAATCTGTACCCCAACAAAACGCGAGGATGGGCGGACCTGAAACTGATCGAACCATTGTCATCGGTTCTTCAACTCGCAGACCGCTCGTGTATTTCTACAATAAATTTTATTGCCATTAAATGAAACGGTTCTGTCCCGAACCCCCCCCCCCGGATACTTACACGATCTGACCGTTTTGTTTATTTAGGTCACCTCTAAGAGCCGAGGTTCAAGTGTGTCTCACGACTACGTCTCACAAAATAAAATCATTCCTCGGCCTGATTCGGGCGTCACGTAACTCCCTGTAACTCCCGAGGTGGATTCTGAATTTTACAGTTTCCGGTCGGTCATCGATGTGAAATATTTAACTTTCATGCACTCCGAAAATTGGAAAAGAAACCACAAAGATTTTGTTAAAAAAGTTCTCTGCTGAAAGAAACGCATGGAAGCCACTTAACTATATTTTTTATCAATAAGTCAGCTAATATTTGCAACCAATCAACCAAATTAAAACTTTTAATCATGCATATTCACGCAAATAAATGCATTCCTCTCAACACAATCTAGGGTCATAAAACTATCAGTACTGTCCATACAATAAAAACAACCCGGTTTCCTCCAAGAATAGGAACATGGGGCCCAGAAACTCCCTGCCGAGCTGAACACCAATTCTTATATCGAGTGGCATGCCTACGCGCTCCCTATATGACGCCAAGGAATTGCACCCTTCAGTTAAGTGGGTCTCATCAAGCAACCTTTCTCTGCACGCCGGATACAAACGGGAGCTTGGACCCAATAGTGTCCTTGTATAACCTCGCATGGCCTATTCTTAATCGAGGGAGGATGACCTTTCTTTACGAATCAGGTCCTCCGAGGGCCAACTATCGGCAGTGCTCTTGATACGCGAGAGATTCTCAGCCGATCCAGCCTACCGACGCTGCAACTTTCTTTTAATCATATATTTTATTGCATTTTTAGCAAAAAGTCAGGATCGCGATGGTTAAGTCAGGAGGATGGGACGCCCCAGCCCCCGCCTCATCGGGTTTTCCTTACCCTCCAGTCCTGTATCCTGGCACGCACCCAGGCAACAACCAAAGTTTTGTCGAGACACTCAAATTCGTGGTATCTCTCCACTTCTTTTATTTATATATATAAGCATTTATATATATATATATATATAATTTATAAATTATCTCTTTACTTATCTATCAACCTATCTATCAATTCATCTATTTAATTATCTATACATCTTGAATCTATGTATTCAATTGTATATTTACTTATCTATCATGTAACTGTTTACTTTGATAAGATATATAAATAAAAGATGGATCTATCCATCCATCCATCTATTTACTTATCTATTTATTGGGTTGTCCGGAAAATAATGCAGGATTTTGGTATTAAACAAAAAAAAAGAAACTAGTTACTTTAAAGCAATGTTCTTTAATCAAAATAATTTCCCATNATATATATATATATATTTACATATCTATTTATCGAGATATCTATTCCTATATATCTATCTGTTTACTTATCTATCTATCCTTCCATCCATTTATCTCTTTACTTATCTATCAAACTATTTATCAATTCATCTATTTAATTATCTATATATCTACTTACATATCTATCTACTACTATTTATTATATACTTATCTCTCTTTCTATCCATCTATCTTTTTATTTATCTATCAACTATTTTTACTTAACTATCTATCTATATATTTAATTATTTATACGTATATATTTACTTATCTTCTATTTAATTTTATGTATATAAAATCACATTAATTACATGTATTAATTGATATATTTTTCTATTTACTTATCTTTCTATTTACATACCTACTCCAATTTACTTATGTATGTATTTATATATTTACTCCTTCCCGCTCTTCCACCCTGTCAATCTGCCTGTATCTCTGTCTATGTCTGTCTCTCTCCCTCTCACTCCCCCTTTCTCTCACTCTTTCTTTCTCTCTCTCTCTCTCTCTCTCTCTCTCTCTCTCTCTCTCTCTCTCTCTCCCTCCCTCTCTCTCCGTCCCTCTCCTTCTCTTTATCTCCTTTTCTCAATTACTCACTTATTACAATAACATTATACAACTTTTAGTTCTGTCACATGTAATTTTGTTACTACATTATAACAAAAGATAATTTCTTTGTTTATAAAATAATGATTACCATTTTTGACGAACGAAATGTACCGTTTTAATTTCTAGTGTATTAACCCTTTTAGTTTTTAGAGGCAGCAGATTTTATCCCTTGCTTTACATTTATGTCGTCATTAAATCTGATAAATGAAAAAACTTTAATGCCGTCTATTTAAATGAAAATAGAAATATTTGTTTACCCAAAACTCTGAATGGAAGATGACTAGAGTTTGAATAGGCTTAGTAGATAATATACGCAGTTCATATACTTTTTTAAATTGACGCTAAGCAGGATGAAAAGGGACCAAATCTTTAAATTTCACCTTTTGATCATCGCACTGCCTATCTCCACGCGCCCCGCCTCTTGATGTCACAATTGATTTTCTTTCCTTCAGTGTTAAGCACCAGTCGGAAATTCTATGTTACAACCTCGCATACCGGAGGATTCTTCCGGGGTAGTAATTTATTAAAATGTATTGTTATCAACTGAATATTTCATTAACTTTCTTCCTGAACGTGTAACGCTAACACGGATCCTGCGTTTTAAGAATGTAATAACGCATACTGTAACACTGCTTTTTTCTGCTTAAATACCACCAAGGGAAAAATAAGCAGGAAATTAACACAACACAAATAAATGTATAATGTTTTGAAGTGAAACTTCCTTCTGCTCGGTTTCACTAACTTTTTTAGGTTAATACATAGTACAGAAAAAAAAGATACAATTGGTACAAATTTCCTAGTACAAAAGAAAACTATATACACTTACATAACAAAAGTTGGTACTATAGGCACCCTTGAGGTAGATCCTGTTTAAGGGCTGCCAACAATACAATGATAAAAAAAGAAGGGTTGAGGGGGAACTAGTGAATGGAACATAACATTACAAACCGTGGAGAGAGAAAAAATAGTAATAATAAAAGTTACAACTTGTATGAATGTATTATACATGAAAAAACTGTAGAGCACTGAAGAAATTTCAATAAAGTTCCGAAAGCTAGGCGAAGATTTAAAATTAAAAATATTATATTTGACCACATCCCTGATAACAATCAAGAGTACTAATTTTTGTTTTTGTTTTTAGCCAAATTCTCAAACTTTTTTGTAGAAAAGAGACCAAATGGAACCACTTAGAAACCTAGATAGTAAAAAAATTCAACGTAATTGTTAATTTTGGTTTGGGCAACAGGTTATTTATAGGACATACCATATGCATGATTAATTCATGATATTATTGCACATTCGGACAAATGATCTTGTTTTCTTCTAAAGCCTGAAAACTTGTGGCAAATAATCTAGGAAATATTGAGATTTCTTGGTCTTTCTGAATATTAAGATATTAAGAAGGTCTGAGGGGTGAGGAAACTGTCTTGGTCCGTTCCGATCGTTTGGGTCCGCCTAGGCTCGCTGGTTTGATTTGTCAGGCGTGTTTCCGCATCAGACAGCCCTACTACTGAATATGGCGAAATATCGAGCCCAAACAATTGAGGACAGGTTGAGAAGGATTTGTTGTAAACTACCTACCAACGGTGATTATTTCAATTCATGACCACCAGATACAAAAACTCACGGTTTAAATTGAACCTTTAAAATCACTTATTTCTTAAGACCTATAATGTATGCTGTGATTTTTCCTATGCAAATGGTCTTTATATCAAAGTCGTTTGTGTTTTAGGAGGTATGCCTCAGCTGGGCCCCGAGGGGGAAGCGAAAATCCGTCACCGTCATCACGGGACTTAGCAACTTCGGCGTAGACCTGAAAACCGCATCAAGCTACTTCGGCTCCAGTCTGGCGACAGGGGCGTCGGTCACTGGGGAAGACGAGATCGTCGTCCAGGGCGACGTGAAAGAGAAGATCCGCAAGCTCATACCGGCACGTTGGCCGGCCATCACTTCAGACTTGATCGGAGACTTGGGCTACCTCAGAAGATAACGCCGAATTAATATGCCTAGGCGGTAAAATAACCCAAGTATAGACCACTATGCTGAAATAGCATTTCTTCTTCAAGATTTGACGATAAGGATGTAATTTTTCCACTTATGATAATTGTATGTCAACCCTTCATAGATGCTTATAAAAAATGTATTTGTTGGTTCTTTTTCTTTTTAACGTTTCAATATTATCAATTAACCCACTTCACCAAAACCCCACGGCTGGATCAGAAATCGATATGGATCAGTTTTCTTGATGTTCAATTGCTCCTAGTTTCTAAGTAATTGTCATAAATGGAATTAGACCCTGTTTCTCTGGGCTATCCTATATTCTAATCGTCATTATACCAAATGATTTGGCGAAAGGTTAGGTTTCTATTTTAAAATTGTATTTGATAAAAATCATCCGAATGTAACTCACATTTGAATTTATACTAGAACTTGTTTGTTGAAACAGTCAAATGGTTATTTGACTAGTCGAAACCGCCGAGGACAGGACTTTGTACGACATCGTCATTTTGAAAGAAGAGAGAACCAATGTGAGATTCTATACAGGAAGAATGCGAGATGGAGGGGACCCGCTGACCTGTATACTGGTATCCGTGGAATTTCTATCCCCTGCCGGCTCACGGGGACAGCGGGAGATCGTTTATCAACGCCAAGCTATCTACTTCTATCGAGGAGAGTCGCATATCAAATGGACGAGGATCGATCACCGACAACCACGTCAACCTCCGAAAACAAAACATGAGGCGTCCACTTTTCCTTTGTAACTCAAACTCCTCAAAAACCGCCGACGGTTTAACGTAAAAATCTTTTCTGTAAATTTTATAGGTTTAATATACTGATAAAGGGGAAAGAGTGCCGCGGGCGTTCGAACGAAAGGAATCCAGTCCCCTGTTCAAAGTCAAGGCTGGAATGAATATCTACTACGAAGTCAAGGCTGGAACCTCATCAACTCTCAATGAACCGTACTCAGTTCAAAAACATACGAGAGCACAAAAATGAACTCTGTCTCTGTCTCTCTCTCTCTCTCTCTCTCTCTCTCTCTCTCTCTCTCTCTCTCTCTCTCTCTCNTCTCTCCCTACCTCCCTCCCTCCCCCCTCTCCTTTTAAACTAAAATTATTTGACCAGGTCACACCTTTTTACAAGAAACTTCGTTGGCTAAAGTGTATAATTAAAATAGAAGCAAAACTCACAATAGCAGCGCTTAAAATCGACAGGTCAGGAAAGCCCAGTTATTTAAAATATAAAATGGAGTTTATGAAAATTGTCCACAAACACAAAACACGATTCACAAATCATTTATTTATAACTGCAAAACACAAAACCTCAATTTTCAATCGTTAATTTATAGTTCACGCGGCTAGAAACCTAAACAACTTTCAAGGAATGTTAAACTTAAACTTAGCTCGAGTTTCACTGAGAAAAGCAATTATTAAATATCATTTTGAGAAGGACATATAAAAAGAAAAAATGTTAAATATTTGCTGTTTGTTAAATATGGCTTTGGTATCATATAACAAAAACTTAGTTGTTAATTTTTATTTAGAAATCGTGAGATGCGGTCTGGTGTGATGTATGTTTCAGAAAAACATTTTCTTTATCGTGTCAACGTTTCGATCTTTATTGAGATCATCTTCAGGGCCTGGGATTTACAAACATTGTTTACATTTAACAAATTCATGTAGGATGTGGAAAAAAGTGAATTTATACAATGCAAAAAAATATTTTTTATATTCAATCAAAGTATTTCTACTCACTTTGAGTAACACTTTGTTCGTTTTCTGCGTAATTGCGTAACCAAACACTTTGAGTGGAAATACTTTGATTGAATATAAAAAATTCACTTTTTTCCACATCCTACATGAATTTGTTAAATTTAAACAATGTTTGTAAATCCCAGGCCCTGAAGATGATCTTAATAAAGATCGAAACGTTGGTACGATAAAGAAAATGTTTTTCTGAAACCTACACCACACCAGACCACATCTCACGATTTCCGAATATCATCGACTAACGGTCACTAATCACCACACATTTGTACACATTATTAATAAAAACTTAAATAAAAAGATAGAATTAAGTTTAAAACTAAAAACTAAATCATATTAACAAGAAAATGAAAATATTACTTTGTTTACAATAATTTGAAAAATGTTTAATTAACTTAAAAATAAATATTATTTCATATATATATGTATTTAGTAGACATAATTGACCTCATTAATTATTATAATTAATTATACTTTTTATCTAAGGTCTTGGCTGAGATGAAAAAGCTAGGGAAGAGAAGCTAGATAGAGCGGCATTCGAACCCACGACCTTCGTCTGGTCAAGCATTTTATTTCATAATATACATCATTTTATTTTTAATAAAGAGCAGGTGCGTGTAAGGCATGGAGGAAGTGTTGAAGATCAATTTTCCGTGAAAAGTAACTAAAGAACTCAGGAAGACAAACTTCATTTCACTAATATTACATATGCTTTATGTAAGCACGCAACAAGGCCAATTACGGCGATGTTTGCTCTCGTTGAAGTAAAACGTTGTAACGTCGAATAAATTATTTATCAATCTCATCGTCTCGTGTGCAAAACTGTGGATTTTGAAAAGCCGACACAGGCTAATGGGCAACGGGAAACTGATTTTATTTTCTGCTTCTCTGGCGAGTTTCCCCCCCTTAATATGGTTGTTGTTCTACCATTATTAAACAATTAAAAATAAATGTCGTCTGTGGAACTGTCGGACAGATAAAGTTAGTTAAATCATTGCATACATTATTAATTGTACAAGTTATTCGAAAAGTTTCTAGCTCTAAAGTTTCAAGTTTAACCTAATAAAAATCTTGTTAACTATTTAATTGCACATTAAAAAAACTTTTTATAGTCTGGTTTTATTATTAATCCACATATTGTTCAAGGTGTTTCAAATTCTTAATGTTCTATTGTTCACCAAACAATGAAAAGATTTTATGAATTGCTTTTACGGGCTTATTATTATTATAGAAATAAAACGCTTTTGATGATGATGATGATGAGCCTTCTATTGAACTAGCGGTACTTTAAGATAGATATAACTTTTTTCTAAACATTTTTTTTCCAATTCCATTTTAATTTCCTACCATTTCGTTTGATGACTTGGTGCGTAAATTCGGAAGCTGACGTTTGAAGCAATAAAAACGATTGTCTTCGCCATGTGGTCCATGACCCTGCCAGGCCGACTCTGACCTTACTTTCCTACTGTCTATGCGGACCGGGTTTGAACCGTTTAAATATCTTTTCACCGAGGGGATTTATCGAGGCATTTTCCTCCCAAGTTCTCCACCAAAAAAGACTACGACCAAACAAACGTAACATTTGCTTTTTGTGCATTTGGGTTGTTGGGCAATTGTCGCTTTCCCTTCCCAACATTACTTTTTTCTTCACCCACCTCTTTAGACGATGTGACAAAACCATTAAACGTTTTCTTGTTTTTCGTTTTCTCTATTTAGTGCCTGTCTCTATTTGTAAAATTTTTTTATGGATAATTTTGGATTTTATCACTTCCTATCTAATGATCTAATCTGTCTGTCTGTCTGTCTCTTTATCTCTCTCTCTCTCTCTCTCTCTCTCTCTCTCTCTCTCTCTCTCTCTTTCTCACTCTCTTTCTCTCTAAATAACTGAATCACTACTTTAAATAAAACCTCTGTCTATTTTTTTTTTAATTTTATCTTTTTTTCTGTCTATATTTCTGCCTCTCCTTTTTATTTTAACAAAAGCTGGACGATAGAAATATTATTTTCCGCAATGATAAATGCTATAGATTAAGTTAATTTGTTTCACTACCAAAGAAATTATTTTGTTATTTAATTTCATATCACCATTCTTTAAAACATTTAATTGAAAACAAGTGCGTGCGTGTTTGTGTTTGTGTGTGTGTGTGTGTGTGTGTGTGTGTGTGTGTGTGTGTGTGTGTGTGTGTGTGTAGCTTTAACAAAACTGGTCCGATGGTATTCTCGCTTGTGAAACACTCCGACAAAATGCAATTTCTCGAAATCCTGTTTGCCTTGTTAAATTTAAAGCCATCCTTAAAAAAAGGGAATGCATGCAAAGAAATATTTACTAAGATGTATTGATAAAACCATTGGTTAAGGGTTAAGACACTAATGCGATTGTCAGAAGGATGGAGCCATAAATATATTATAATTATTTATCTGTTTATCATGCCGGTCCATCGAAGGAATTCCGCTCCTTCGAATTAATCGTAAGGATTTTCACTACCGTAGAACATAACATGTAACACCACTGATAGTAAAACATTTCGCGTCGTTTTTGAGAGTATGAAAACTTAACTGGGACTTTGACCACAAATGTTCACGGTGCCGTCCTCAATCGTGTTGGCACGATTTATGACAATTTGTGACGTTTTCAAAATAAGAATGCCGTTTGTTCCCACGTTTAACTAAACCATAAATCAACCGTAGAGATGGAAAAAATGACAAAGCCTAATTCAAAACTGAATTTCTAACCTAGATCTTTAAAAAAAATTGAATAAAGTTTGTCTGCATGTCGCGACTATTTATATTTATTTTTAAAAATTCTGCTTGCTAAAATCAACACGCAGAACAACGGACTTAACGCGATGATTATCCATTCCGGTGGTCTTTATTCGCGTCCACGTCGTCCATCCAAAATATAAAATTACGTTCCTTTTCAATACATTCTTTACATTAGAAGCTTTTTTGTTAAACTAATTGTAAGACAAAATCTCAAGGGTCAAAAGGATACTTGTCAGAAGGATGGAGCCATAAATATATTATAATTATTTATCAGTTTAAACGATACTTCTCTTAAATCAATCTCAAGCCTCAATGATATTTTCATGTATTTACAACTTATATTCTAATTATAAAAAATGGCATTTTGGGCGAAAGTTTGACAAGCAGGAATAGATAAGCTTTCTCAAAACCTAGGTTACCTCAACAGAATGAAAAAAAATCTCAACTCGCCATTGTGATAACAGCACAGCTCAAAATATCAAACACATCCTGCATGTCTGTCCTCTATTGGAGCAAAGCAGAGTACAACTCATGAAGGAGGTTGTTTGAACGAGAAAATAGTTTGTTCACGAAAGGCGATATTCTAAAAAGTTCAGTGTCTTTTATTAAAAGCATTGGTAAAGCCA